GCTAGGCTGTTGTGTTGAACGTGCGTGGACTAGGACGAGACGGCATGTGGCGGGCGGACGGGGAGCTTGGGACCGATCCTCGACGCGTACTTTGATCAGGCGGAAACGTTGGACGACGGCAGCCGCGTCCGGTTCGACGAGATCGAACTGGGCGAGGACGACGACAATGACGCAGTTTACCCCAACCACGTCGCCGCCGTCTAGTGTTGGCCACTACGGCACGAAAGGCAGTCGATCGTCTTTGTTTCCTCTTGTTGTCTCCGTTCGTGTTGAATGCATCTTGGTGGCGAGAAGGCAATAGGAGGTTTTGGAGCCGGAACGGATCCGGAGCACGCATTCTCGCATTCATACGACGTGGACGATGCAGGATTCTCTCGTGTTTCTAGACTGCTTGGTGTGTGGACGCTGCTGATTGTTGTCAGTATCCGGGGCGTCCGAGTCGTACTTGTACCCGCCGGGAAAGCGCAACTGTCGTCTTCTGGTACTCGGTCCGCCAACTATCAAAACCGATGGCGACGCCGTGGGTGTAGAGAATTGACCGAGTACCGCCGTGTCGAATGGCTTGATGTAAACATCAAAACTCTTGCGAACCGTTGTCGCACCCTTCGACGTGGCCAGCGCATACGGTGTCATCCCGTCCTACACGTACAGACAGCGAAAAGGGTGGTTAGGGTTGTATTACCTGGTTGGGCTTGCGGATGCTGGTGGCGGCGCCTCGCTCGAGGAGCTGCAGGATATGCCACCGGCGCGCGCACTCGTCTGTCAGATGCAGTAGACAGAGCGCCAGGAGGCCGTTGCGAGGGGCCTACATCGTGTGAGAGAGGGTGAACGAGAGAGCGATGCTACTCGACGCACGGCTTTTTGGACCACGTCGATCGGTGCGTGGAGGTCCAGAAGGAGCTGCGCCATGCGAGGCTGGTTGCTCGTGTATGCTGCGACCAAGGGCGCTTCGGATTGCTATCCATTCCAAGGATAAGCACCACACATCTCATGCCAGGATGTGAGCTACTCGTACCTGGCAGCGCCGGGAGCAATCCCAGTCGATGCTGTCATGGAGGTCACACGGGCTGCCGAGGTACGCCCCCGCGCTCACGAGTACCTCCACCATGGCCTCATTTCCGGCCAGCACCATACGCTGGAGCAGCGTTTGCTCCTACACCAAGAAATTGCGTCTGCGACCACTTCAGTTTTCCGAGAGCGCACCTCGATCATGGACCGGACATTTGCGCCATGGTCGAGTGCATAGACCGCCGTCTCGACGTCGCTGCGACCGAGGGCGCGGGCGAGGAGCCGGTGACTAGACGACTATGGTACCACGCTCATTAAACCCGTCGGATACGAGTATGGTCACACCCCCGAGATGTCGGCGCCGTGGTCGGCGAGGAGGCAAACGACGTCAAAGGCGCCGGCGTCAATTGCATCCTCGAGCACGTGACGGCGATACTAGCTGATAGAGGTGCAGAAGAAACAGAGAGGTACTATTCGCAAACCTTGTAGAGATGCGATCCGACGTCGCGTGCAGCGACAGCGAGGCGTCCGGACACACCGCACAGCCCGTCTGTGGCCAGAGAGACGATGGATCTATCATCCTTTTGCAATCCAGACAATGAACTATCTATCTTGAAAAAGGTCTTGGAGTGGGCTACGTCCGTGATGGCAAAGGCGTCGAAGAGGGGGCCGGGCGACGAAAGTAGCTCATCGCCTAGAAGGAACATAAGGCGCTCGTTCACCTGCGCGCATCGCACCGTCGGGCAGCGGCGATGTGCGCGCCCGTGCGTCATCCGGTGTGAGCATTCTGGACGATTGATGGACGTTAAGAGTCGAAAATGCAGTGTGAGTGATTCGATGAGTTGGCCTGTATCAACCCCGTCATGTAGTTTGCATATAAAGGGCCCCACCACCAGGGGGCATGAAAACACCATTCCTTGCCCTATGCCGCCATGTACGACATATGGGCGATTGGCCGGACCACCGGGACACCACGGTGTCGATCGACTCCTCCTCGCCAACGCCAACGTGCACCGCTGCAACGACGTACGCTTCGGCTCCCTACATTCTTGTAGCGCGGTGAAACTTGCGGCGGCGGCGGGTGGCCATGCCCGCATCGTCACAAGCCTCCTCGCCGCCGGAGCCAATGTCCACCAAGGCGACAACGTAAGTGGCCTCCATCGGCAACGCAAGAGGAGAGTGCGGGATACCTACTGTAGCAAGGCATCACTCCGCTGGTTGAGCGGGCCACGATCTTGCTCGAGGTGAATGCCACCATCGAGTGCACGGCGGTAGGCGACCTTCCTTGCAGTTTTCGACGGACGTTGTGGGATGTAGCGCGGACCTATGGTGCACGCCGTCACGCGAAACCATACCGACGTCGTCTTGCTGCTGTGCTGCGCCATCGTGGCGCGCGCCGACAAGCAAGCGATGCGACGAGGCGACGTCAACAGTTCGGACGACCTGTCTGATGAGACTGTCTTGGCACATGAGCCGTCTCGGAGAGACAAGTGCGTCCCGTCGTAGCAGCTTAGTATAAGCGCGAACCGATCGCTATGCGCTGTGCGCGGAAGGAACCATCACACTAAAGTACCAAGCAGCGCTCGATCTTCGAGCAGACACTGTAATATCAAGACAGCGTCTACTGCGAAACACTGGTTCGTACCTTGCTATGTTTTATTTAAACCATACAAACGTTGTATGGTATGAAATACCCATGCAAACCATGCGAAAATAAACTCTGTCAGCCAATCATTTGACGACAATGCCAAACGCACGATGCCGATTGGCCAAAAAGTGGCGCCGTGAACAATTGTTGGTGCCCCTTGGATCAACTTGGTTGGTCTCGTTCCATCTTCCGATTCGCCACCGCAAGAAGCATGAGCCTCTACGCGCCGCCGACGACGGCCGAGATGCTGCAGCTCAACGCTGCGGACGCGTCGTCCGTGTACACGACCAACTTCCTCCGGCTGCAGACGACGCAGCTGCTCGACGAGGTCCGCATCGCCTACGACAAGGTCGGTGGCGTCAACCCGATCCTCGTGGCCATCAAGCAGTGCTTGGACGCGCTGCCCGAGCAGCAGGTCACGTCGTCGTGCTTGGCCATGCCGGGCCTGCCCACGCGCAACCTCCTCAAAGAGGTCGCGCTGCAATTCGCGCCGCCCGCGCGCCTCGACGTGCTGGGCTCGCACACGCTGCGCCATGGCATCAAGAAGGCGAGTAGCTTGACCATCGACTTGGCCGTGACGATGCCGTCGTCCTGCTTTGTGCCCAAGGACTTTCTCAACTACCGGTACCACGACAAGCGCAACCTGTACCTCGGCGTGCTCGCCGGCAGCCTTCAAACGCTCCAGGTCGACGGCGCCGCCGTCGTCGCATCGATCCGCGTCACGAGCTTCCATGGCGACGCCAACAAGCCCGTGCTCGTCGCGTCGCTTGCCAAGAAGATCAAGGGCCAATCCATCATCCTGCACGTGTACCCGGTCCTTTCGGAGGACTGCTTTAGCGTCGCCAAGCTCAACCCGGGGCGCAGCAACATCCGCAGCGAGCCGGCTGCACCCACGCCGCGCTACAACAACGCAATCCTCGAGGACATGCGCATGCTGAGCCACCTCAAGGCGCTCCACACGGTCGCGTCGCAGTCACCGGCGTTTGTCGAGGCGTGCATGCTCACCAAAGTGTGGCTGCGCCAGCGATCGCTCGACATGAACGGCTTCCAGGCGTCCATGCTGCTGCTCTACCTCGTGCACATGAAGAAAATCCACCTCACAACGAGCAGCGATGCCATGTTCAAGATCTGGCTCCAGTTTCTCGCCTCGTACGACGTGAGCACGCCGCTGGTGTTCCCCGCCGACGGCGACGTTGTCCCGACCGAGGCCGCGCTGCACGTGTTTTCGGACGCATTCGACGTCGTTTTCCTCGACGCCTCGAACCGCCTCAACCTCTTTGCGTCGCTCTCGACCTCGGGCTTTGCGGAAATGCAGTGGCTCGCGCAGCAGTCGTACCACTGGCTGTCCCAGGGCACGCTCCTCGACTTTCAGCGCGTCTTCATCCTCCAGCACTCGGTCTACGCGCGCTACGACGAGTACCTTCATGTGCCGCTGCCCAAGGCCAAAGCCAACGCCGTCCCGACGCTCGAGGTCGACCTCGATGTGGCCTGGCCCGCCTACGTGGCGGCGCTCGCGACCAAGGCGCTCGGAAACCGCGTCGCGCGCGTCAAATCGCTGATTACGCCGGCGTCGACGTGGACACTGCAAGGCCGCCGCCCGCTGCCAACGTTCCTGACCCTCGGCCTCTCGATTGTGCCGGAGCACGCCACGCGCATCGTGGACAAGGGGCCGGATGCCGACGACACGGTCGCGGCGGCCGAGTTCCGCGCGTTCTGGAAGACCAAGGCGGAGCTGCGTCGCTTCAAGGACGGCGCGATCGTCGAGGCGGTCGTCTGGGACGACGTCAAGCCCCACGAGATTCTATGCGCGATCGTGTCGTACATTGTGCTGGCGCACTGCCCGAGCATCGGCGACATCACGTCGTCGAACGCGACGCTGCTCGAGGCGGACACGGATGCGACCGCGTTTGCCAAGCACGTGCCCGCGCTGCAGAAGACGTGGAACGCGCTCGGCGCGACGCTCCGGTCGCTCGACGACGTGCTTCCGCTCAAGGTTAAGGACGTCCAGCCCGTCGCGCCCGCGTACCGCTACACGAGCGAGTGCCCGCCGCTGCCGCATCCGCTGGCGTCCAAGACGCCGATTTCGGTCGCCTCCAAGTACATTTCGACGGTCGTCGAGCCGGTGTTGGTCGTGCTCCAGTTTGAGTCGTCCTCGAGCTGGCCGACGACGGCGGACGCGCTGGCGAAGGCCAAGCTCGGGTTTTACGTGCACCTCGCGCACGCGCTCGACGAGCACAAGTCGCGCGCCTACACGTGCCACGTGTTTGCGACCGGCGTCGACGTCGCGGTCGACGGCTACGTCTTCCGCCTCCTGCTGCACACGGAGCGCGACCGGTCGCTCTGCGCCGACTTTGGCGCGCGGCAGTACGCGGTCCCGCACGCGATGCAGCTGCACGCGCTCCAGAGCCGCCACCCGAGCTTTGCGCCGACCGTCCGCTTTGTGCGCACGTGGCTCGAGTCGCAACTCTGCGCGTCGCTTCTCCGCCTCGAGACGGTCGAGCTCCTCGTCGCGTCGCTCTTCCTCTCGAAAGAGGCGCCGCCGACGTCGATCCTCTCGGGCTTTACGCGCTTCCTTACGCTGCTGGCGTCGCACCCGTGGGCCGAAGAAGCGCTTATCGTGGACCTGCAGGAAACGTGGAGTGAGAAGGACCACCGCGAAGTGCAGAAGCGCTTTGACGCGTCGGTGACGCAGCCAAGCACGCACCCCGGCCTCTTTGTCGCGGCGTCGTACGAAGCGATGGACACGCTCTCGAGCTGGAGCCGCGGCAGCGTCCACGGTACCGACGAGCGTGCGATGGTCCATCGCCTCGTGTCGCTGGCGCGGGCGACGACGGTGTCGTGGTTGCACTGGCTCAAGACGGGCGGGGCGCCGCACGCGTGGCAGAGCTGCTTTGCCCACATCATGGACTATGACGTGGTCTTGCACCTGGACACGGACGCGCTGCCGTCGACGAAGCTCCACTTGAGCAGCAAGGGACCGTTTGGGATGGCGTACTACAAGAACATGCGGCCGGACGCGTCGGCGCTGTACCTCGGGCTGGACCCGCTCTCGACCGTGGTCGTGGCCCTCCGCGCCCGCCTCGCCGACTTTGGCCTCGTGTTTGCCAACAAGGAGGTGATTGCGATTCGTTGGAAGCCGACCGCGTTTCTACCGACGCGGTTCCGTGTCATGAAGGCGACGCACCTCTTGCCGCTCGAGAACGACAGCGGGTCGGCGGTGCCGCAGATCTTTTCGCTGCTGCGCGAGATCCAGGACATGACGCATGGCATCGTCGCCCGCACCGAGCTCAAGGCGTAAGCGACTCTATAAGTTAATACTCGACGACTGTAATCCATTGCTCATGTCGCACCGTCTTGGCCCTCGCATGCAATAAAAGTAACGTGTCGCTGTGAACGCCAGCACTACAGAAGCTTGGTCGTAGCCACTTGAGTACAAACGTGGCAGCTACATACGCGAGTGCCGACTCGTCCTCTCTCCAAAGGTCCGTTTTCTCATCCTAGCACGTCCATCTCGTTTGTGTGCTGTGCCCACCTTGCTCGGACGCAAGCCTCTCTCGGCAGCATGGACTACCGAGTATCATTCCTCAGAGGCGTGCCCTCCATGATCCCCAACCCGCGCCGGGCGATGTTGATAGCCATGGTTGGTAGCTTGGATTATTTCTTTTTACTCACTTCCGAGTTCACTTCCGAGTTCCCTTCCGAGTCCAACCGGCATGTGCCTTGACGTCACAGAAGAGAGTAGTCACCGTCGACTCATACAACGTCCTCGATCGGCGTGTCGGGAAGCGGTAGTGCCGATGCGAGCCGAGGAGGAAGCACGAGCTCGGCGGCCAGCTTCTTTGTATACATTGGCTGGAGCCGCCACGTTTTGACGTCAAAGACCAGTAGAGAGCCGCGCCATGAGACCGTCACGAGGCCGCTCAGCAGCGCCGACGCGCGATCCATGTAGTAGACGTCGCCGAGCAGCCACCCGTCGTGTGAAAAGAGAAACTTGGCGCCGGCCGTGAGCAAAAGCGACTCACTGCGGCGGACGGACGCCGACACGGGCCACAGGCTCCGCACGAGGCCGTAGCAGACTCCGTTGCAGACGACAATGATGAGGATCAAGAGCAGGACGCGATCCAGAAACCCGATCGCGATGGTGCCGGTCGAGCACGTGACTTGGAGGTCCAGTGCCGTGGGGACGCAGCGGAAAGCCATATTCGCCTTGTGCTGAACGGGTCGGAGGGTTGTAAGACACGCTGCGACTGCCCACACGAGCACACTGTTGATGGTGACGTAGCGAATCGAGTGCTCGCGTGTGATCGCGAGAAAAATGTCGTTGAGAATACCGACGAGCCACGTGACCTCGCTAGCGGCCAAGCACGTTGTCAGCGCTGACGAGGCCTCGGTCGCAAACGACACCAGGTGCGGGCTTGGGTAGTGTAGCGACAGTGACGTCGCCGTCGACAAGAGGCAGAGCGCAGTGAAACTCCGTACGACCAAGAGCGGGCGGCCCACCCAGACGATGCCGCCGACGCGACTGAGCTCGAGCATATTAAGCCCTTCGACGCGGCCGCGGCTGACGACAATGTAAACGCCTGCAACGGCAGCGAGACCCGCCATGACGTAGGTGATGTACTGGACGGTGGCGTGGGCGTATAGAGCAAACATCGACGAGAGCTCGGCGGCTTCGACCGGCTCGACCGTTCGGACGACGAGGTCTGAGAGCAGTGTGAGCGATCCGTGGTCGCCTGCAAATGTCACGACATCCCGCTGGCCGCGGAGCCACTCGAGTACAAACATCGAGCCGAAAAAGATAAAATTTTCATCCAGAAGCGGCGTCGTGAAGAGCGCGAGGGGGACTGATTCGTTGAGAGTTCCGTACTGCATGAGGGAGATGTTGAGCGCCACAAGGGCGTCCATGGCCGCCGACTGCGACGGTATGTGGAGTGGCGCCATCGTCGACGTCCATTGCGTGACGGCCGTGAGCGTGGCTTGGCACTGGGCGACTGCATTCGGCACTTGCAGACAGTGGTCGTCCATGGTGCTAGTGTTTGATAGAAGCGCCGCAAATACCCAGCCATCCAGCGTCGAGGTAAACGTCGATGCGATCACGCCGCCCGTGCATTTGCTCTCAAAGAGGAAAAGACGTAAGAAGCCCGCCGAGATCGGACTCGAACTCGCCATCATCAAGTCGGAGCAGAGCAGCGACCCTCCCACGGTGTTGAAGCCAAGCTTTAACCAAGGCGCCGGAACGAGCAAATCCAAAAAGCTTACTGGCAGTCTTGCGTAGGCGGCCTGCAAGCTCACGGCGCTCGCACGGTGCGTCGCGACAGCCGACATGATGTCCCGAGCAACGGCGCGGACGACCGGTGGCACTTCGACGTACTTGGCGTCAATCGCACCAAACGGACCCAGCGCTGCACGGACGACTGCATACCCTGCTGGCAGCGGCGCCGTCAGAAAGGTGGCGTTCGCCAAGTAGACGTCTTCCAACGATGTGTTGGCGTATGCAAAGACGGGAGACGACCGCAGCAAACTCGTCTGGTTTGGCAGGTTGGCCAGGTCGTTGGCGAGCGACCAGTAGAGCTTGTATGTGGTCTGAAACTCGAGCCGATACTGGCCCTGGCTGCGCTGGAGCGTAAACGGGTATGTGAGACCGAGCGCATTGACGATTCTGTATGTGTTGTCGAGGCCGATAATCTTGAAGTTTTGCCACTGCAGCTCGTACGACTGGAGACCATAGCGCTGCCAGTAGGCGACTTCGTCTGCGACAGAGATGCGTGGTTGGCTCACTGAGGCGAGGAATATATGTCCTTGGCGCGTCGTTGAGAGATCGTTGCCAAAGGCAGAGCCGAACGAAGGGCCCCAGCAAGCGACCCAGTCGTCCCACTCAACGTTGCGAAGCAGCGACTCGAGGTACACGGCAGCGTTGGTTGGCATGGTGCGACGACAGCGAGCTTGGCGCTTAGCGGTGACAGCCATGTCCCAGACGCCATTAAAGTCAAGGAAGCAGTACGGTGTAAAGATCCAGGGTGCGTCACAAGCATCGGTGGCTCGCAGACCTTGCACAGCGTCAATGAGCGTAGTCAGAGTTGAGTATGCATGCGAGCACCAAAGTGGGTTGGTGAGCTCGTGATCGATGCGTCTGTTGAACCGATCCTATTGTTCGCGGGGTCGGTGAGCTTGAAGTCTCCGTTCGTTTGGTTCATGGCGATGCGACCCCAAAAGCAGGTCGTCAAGAAGACGTGGGTGCTCGAGAGGTTGAAGCCGGGCCAGATGAGGTCGTTGACGAGGGTGCTCTTGGCGATCTGCAAGTACGAGTAGCTGCTACTGACAGCAGCCAGAACGTAGACAAAGCCAGCGACAGCAACAAGACGGCCATGCCACGGCAACGATGGCAAGCGCACTGGCTCAGCCGCAACGGTGGTCGATGCTACAGGCGCTTGAGCCACATGTACGGCGACCCAAAGCTTGACGTCAAAGAAGACGCGACCGTGCTGCAGCGGCATCAGCCCCGTGAGGACGTAGCCGATGTCATCGAGCTCGTGATGAAGCAGTGCGTTCGCGACACCTGAGAAAAGAACGGTGATCGGGCGCCGACTGTCGACTCGCGTGCGGTGGTGTCGCCAGCAGATCGCAATAAGAAGGCAAGCGACTTGGATGCCGAGCAACACGTAGAGACGCTGCAAGCTGCCAATTGAGATGGAGCCATTGGTGCATCTCAGCGAGTAGAAGTAGTCGGTGCTAGAGCAGTTGCGCTCTAGCGTGGTGGCTACGGTGACCGGTGCAAGCACATCAAGAAGGCTGTAGATGCACCAGACGACGGCCGCCGCACCCATCGAGCCATCGGGATGGAGCACGAGCTGGCACTCGTACACGACGTACGTGATCCAGTTGGCTTCGCCTGCCAGCACGATCGCTTCGTAGAACGGACGGCCTGAGCTTACGAGCGCCGAGACCCCATTGGTTTGCGTCAGTGTCACGGGGGCAGTGCTAAGAAGCAACAGCGCGCAGGCGCCACGAAGAAACATGAGCGGCCGCCCAAGCCACGTCGACGCAGCCACGCGGTGAAACACAAACAAGTTCTGACCCGCAAACGCCAAGCGGGTGCGTACAGCCAGCACTGTGCATGCTACAGCAATCGCGACCAAGACCACGGACGAATAGAGCAGCATGTAGAAGACGATTGTGGACGCTTGGCTCAGCGGCGCCGTGTTGGGATCTTGGGTCCCAGTGCTCTGATAGGCGTCGGAGATCAGCACGAGCGTGCCGTTGTCGCCTTCAAACGAGACGACTTCGCGGATACCGGTGGCCCACTCGTAGGCGTAGACCCAGCCAAGCGGATTGGTGTCGTGCAAGATGGGTGCCGTGAGCAGTGTCCACTCGGAGCCGTTCCGATCGGAGGCAAACTGCATGAGACTCACTTGCATGTCGCTGATCACAGCGGTCAGTGCGGATGAGAGCGTCTCGTTGATCAAGTTCTGAGATGTTGTGAGGTCGATGGCCCTGGTCACGTGACGAATGCAATCAATGCTCGCAGAGACCACGGAGATGCAGATAGCCATCGGTGATACGCTGGGTCCGCTCAAGCTCAGAGCAAAGAGAATGGCGGATGGCTGGGCTACCATGGTTGCTGAGGATGGCTGACTGCATGCATCGCCAAACGTAAAGGCAGACTGCACGTAGCTGCGCCCGATTCCGTTCAAGCACATGGGGTTGCCGCCGTAATAGAGATACTCGTCCACGTCCCACGCCGCTGGTAGTGGCTGCGCCGAGAGTGCTGGGAGCTGTTCATAGTCGCGAGCGGCTGTGGCGTTGGCTTGTACTGCTTGGTAAAGCACGCGCTGAAAGCTTGCGATCGCATCCAGCAAAGCAGTAGGCGGAGGGAGGACGAAGAGGTCCACGGACAAGAACGGTCCGATGGCGTCGCGCACAAGTCCCGTTTGTTTGACAAAGCGGCCGCGACTGTCACTGAGGCCGAGGAAGCCTTCAAAGCCAGGTGTCGCAGAGTAGATACACTGTGTCTCCATAATGTAGTTGGTTGAATGACGCACGAGGCTCTGGTCGCAGGTGGCTGCGAAGAAGATCTCGTTCATGAAGAAAACGTTGAAAATGTTGGAAGTCCAAGATCCCTGTGCGTAGGTGGGTCGTTGTAGTTCGATGGTTGTCGCTATCCCAAGTGCGTTGACGACTGTCATGGTCGACTGGAGGCCCGTGAACGCGATGTTTTGCCACTGCAACTCAAAGCGCGTCACGCCAAACGACCGCCAATGCGTAGCTTCGTCGACAAGAGAGAGGCTGGCAGCTGCTGTCGCGGTAAACCATTCGTGGCCGTCGGTGCCTGATGCGTTCACGGCAGCAAAGACAGCTTCGTTCAAGTCATCGCTGTAGGCGTCCATGAGCCTACCCCACTGTACATTACGAACGATTGCGTCCAGATAGATGGCGCCGTTGAAGCGGTATCGCTCCTTGCACCGCGCCTGGCGAGCGACTGTGTGGGCGAGCTCCCAGCGCTGGCCAAAGTCCACATAGCAGAAGAGCGTGGGTAGCGTCATGGATTGATCAGCGCTCATGTTGCGAATGTTCAGGATCGCATACTCGATGGACGTGAGCTCAGTGAGTAAGAGAGCCCGCGCGCGCGTCGGGTGGGGCACTGGCAGCTGCGTTGCGCTATAGGACTTGGGCATGACCAGCTGCGTGAGGTCCACGACACCCGAGAGACGCTGCTCCAAGGCATGGTTGATGGCATCGACGAGAAAGAGCTGGTACCCTGTCGTGTTGAAGCTCGGCCACCAGAGGTCGTTGGCAAAGCTGCGCGAGAGGAGAACGAGGTAGTAGGCACCAATGGCCATGGCCGACCAGAGGTAAACGAGTCCTGCAATAGCCACCTTTCGCTGCGACCAGTGACGAGATGCAGCGTCGAGGTCGTAGTGCCACGGACCCGCGGGTAGGACGCGGCTCATTTCTCCAAGCGTTGCTAAAAAGTGCAACCCGCCGTTTCGAGGCCAGAAACTGATTTACTACTCGTACAGTAGTAGTTCGTACGCCAAGCCTGTTGATACTCCTGTCAGCTTTTGCACATGAAGCAGTATTGACTACTAACCCTGGTACACATATTCTTCTCGAGTTGCAGCGTGGTTGCGCCAAGATCGAGCTCTCTCATGAATTCCTCGCGTCGGTTGCACGATCGGTGCTTTTTAATGGGTCCCTGGGGTGCACCTAATTTGACAGGTCCCAATTTTGCATTCATTGGGGTGTGCGACATAGGGGGGCCACCCACGGGGCCTACAACAAAGTAATGGTGGCGATGCGAGGCGCACTCTCGCGCATTGTGATTGGCCAAAATGGAGGCGCGTGGTGATTGGCGCAATTGGTGCGCTGCGATTGGTGCAAAACGCCGCGCTCGATTTGGTTGGTGGGTATGCCATCGCCGATGCCGCGGATTTGATTGCTCATAAGACTGTTGTCAGCTTTGCAGCTTAATTGGATCCAGTCCATTTCTCGTATCTCTTGATTTAGTAGTATGTCGATCGCTGACTTGTCCGCTGCCCAGAAGCAAGAACTCGCGACCTCGGTCGCCGTCCTCCTCCTCACGGACGCCAAGGTCGACGTCTCGGCCGAGAACATCGTCGCCGCCCTCGACGCCTCCAAGAACAAGGTCGCCGCCTACCTCCCGACGCTCTTCGCCGACGCCATCGAGAAGGGCCTCAAGGTCGAGAAGCTCCTTGCCGGCCCGTCGGCGGGTGCCGCCTCGGCTGCCCCGGCTGCCGGTGGCGCCGCTGCCCCGGCCGCCGCTGCCAAGGTTGAAGAGAAGGAAGAAGAAGAGGCCGACCTCGGCGGTGGCATGGACATGTTCGGCGGTGGCTCGGACTACTAAGCACGCCATCATCATCGAGACCATCAACTCTTTGTGAACCGTCAAGAGATGGGCACGGGCTTGGCTGGTAACATATCGTAATATATACGCCGTCAAGGTCACGCCCAAGCCGCTTCATCGTCATCAATCCTCTCGCCATTCTCCAGCTTCCATCGCATCCGCTGACGCCGAGCGCCTCGAACCGACGACCCTCACAGAAAAAAAGCTGGAGCGACACCACTGTCTGTCCTCGTGTCAGAGCTGCGACCTTAAACAGGCGAAAGCTACAGGATGGCTGCATAAGGCATGAGGCTACTACGCTGTGAGGTTGCTGTCAGATTTTGACAGTCGACGGGACCTTGAGTGCACTCTTCAGTCGCTGAAAAACACTCAACTTGGCCTGCACCAAAATGGTGCTCCTGGCCTCGAAGCTGCGTGGGATTAGCGTCCGGATAATCGCACTTCACCGATGACGCCCCGAGCGCTGCTGGTGCTGCTGGCGCTCGTCGCCGTCGTGGCAGCCGTCGACATCAAGATCAAGCGCAAGCCGCGAACGATCCGCGAGCCCATAGCGATCCGCGAGCCTGCGCCGTTCCGGACCGGCCTCCTCGACGACAAGACAGAGCCGCTCACCAAGTACGCGTCCGTCGACCACGAAATGTACGTCGCTTGTCCACGCGCCGAGGACGACGACATGGACCGCTGCGTAGGGGCGACGTGACGATGCATCTCTTCCACAACATCACGTTCCTCTCGCCGACCAAGAAGGTGCTCCTTGGGCTCTGGAAGGGCTACGAGGTGGACGAGGCCAGCATGCGGTACCGCGCGCTCCTCTTTGACGACGGCGACCTCTGTCCGCAGGACCGGTCGAAGCGGTACTCGGTGCGCCTCGAGCTCGCGCGGCGCGACTACGAAGGCATGCGCGAGTACATCCAGAGCGTCGAGACGACGTCCGAGCCGTGCCAGCTCAAGCTGCACCTCGAGTTCTACGCCCCTGAGGCGCGTCTGACGCTGCCACCCGAGCACGTCGAGCACGTTGCGAGCTGGTACGAAGACCCGACGTCACCCAAGGTGCTCTGCAAGAGCATCAAGTGCGACTACGCGACGGTCCAAGACCAAGTCGATGCGATCGCCATGTCCGTGCAAGCGCTGCAAGTGCAGATCGACGCGCTTGCGTCGCCGCTTGTAGCCGACGACACGGCCGTGTTTGTTCAGAGCACGCTCGACGCGTCCAACGCCGTCTTGTCGGCGGCCACCTCGGTTCTCGGCACGGCCTCGCGCGTCTACGCCCGACTTGCCGAGCTCCAGCCAACCACAACCACGTGCACGGGGCCGCAGTGATGCTCTGCACAGAACGCGGAAGAGATCAAAAACACACACATTTGTCGTGTTAGACGCGTCCAGGACGCAGCTGGTGGTGCAGCGCATACGGCGACGCGGGCAGCACGGGCGCCGCTGGAAGGAGCGACGCGTCCGAGCCGTCGTCGGCACAGAGGAGCGCGACGACGTCGTACCACTCGCGAAACTTCATGTCGGACGAGTGCTCGAGGCTGAGGCGGTCGCGGCCGCGCGGCGTGTAGTACTGGACCCAGAACCAGAGGAGGTGGCGAAAGTTGACGCAGAGCGCACTCGCGCCAACCTCGGCATCGTGCTGTCGGAGCGCGTGCAGCAGATGCGGGAGGCGGGCCTTTCGGTGCTCAAACACAAACATGACGATGGCCGTGTTGAGGCAGCAAATGTTCTCGTGGTTGATGTCGTCCATGCTGACAATGCCCATGAGGTCGCGGAGGAGGCGGACGTTGTTGACATCGAGGAAGGCAAAGAGGCGGCCGAGGCTCGGACACGACGCCATGTCCTCTCGGCGGTGCGCGATCGAGAGGAGGAGCGACCGCACAAACACGTTCGAGTCGACGAGGTTGGTCACCACCACATCTACATCCCATGTCGTCGCCACAAGAAACGATATATGCAACACGTACGCATAAAGTTGGAGAATTGGAGGTCGTCGAGCGCGTCGTTGAAGAGCACGAGCGTCGTCGCGTTGTTCTTGGTCATTTCGCCGAGCAGGTCAAACGCCGACTGGAGCGAGCCCGACGGTTTGAAGCCCGACCCGAGGATTTCCCGCAAAAGCGCAGCGAGCAGCGGCGTCTTGGCGACAAAGAGCTGCTCGGCCGGCGACGCGCGGCGCAAGAACGACTCGACGCACGACGCGAGCCAGAAGCGGTAGATCGAGTCGGACGGCTGCGCGCAGAGCACGTCAATGATCTGGCACAAGAGGCCCTTCTGCGTCCGCATCGGATCCAGAACGCTGTTGCCTACATCCCATCATCAATGGAGGTCGAGGCAGCGTCGTCGGTACCGTGGAGACTGTGCTGTTCTTCAGGCGTCAAGAGCAAGAGCTTGTTCGCATGCTCTTGGACGTCGCGGTCGCAAAAGTTGTGAATGAGCCGGAGAAACTGAATCTTGAGCGATGCGTCCATGCTGCACTCGCACCTAGCATCCATATATCAATTGCCATTTCCTTTGAGAGAAAAGAGCCACGCCGCAGCCAAAGATACCCGGGGCCATGCAGCGGTTGCTATCCATGTGCAATCTTTCAGTATGGACGATCGAAACAAACGACGTGTACCGAGGGCGGCGACGACGGCGGTGCGTTCCACTCGAGGCGCTGAAACATCTGCGTGAGCACGTGCACGAGGCCCATGTTGGCAAACGTGTCTTGAAAGTCGACCTTGCGCTTGCTGCTGAGTAGCGTGCAAATCACAAAAAGCACTTCAACGCGGAACGGCGCGAGCGAAATCGACTTGAGCATGAGCTCGACCTCGACGTCGCTGCGGTTGGGCGTCGCGGGCGGCATCGCGAGGCGCGACCGCGCAAGGAGCGACCGAAAGTACGTCGACGAGAGGTGGATAAAGCCGGCCGCGTCCGACGGCGCCGAGGTCAGCGTGCGGCCGTGCATGGCGTCGTCCATCACCGCCTGGACCGTCGGTTCTTGAAACATGTGCCACTCCTCGTGCTGCTCGAGCGAGAAGAGCATCGCGAGGTCCGTCGACGACTGCAGTTCGGGTGAGAACGGGTCGTAGCTCGGGTTGATGGAGAAGAAATAGTTTTGCAGCTGGAGCACGAGCATGAACCGATGCAAGATGGCAGGCGTCTGGAACAAAATTGCGTGGTTGCGGTCGACCGTGTTGTCGGTTTTCTGCATGCGCTCGCGCCGAAGGCGGAGGAGCTCGATCGACTTGATGACACCTACACAAGCGTGAACTCGCTTCATCGCGACCCAAGACCGTTCGTACGCGAGTTTTCAAGCAGCCGGCGGTCCTCGGGCTCGAAAACGATGAGGGCGAGGATGCGGCAGAAGAACGCGAGCTGCCGCGTTGAGAACGACTGCACGATGCCCTGAAAGTTGGCTACATCAAAGAGGAGTGAGGAGACACATGGAGATGATTATGGCGCGGGGGACGTACGCACGCGGCTGAGGTCGAACGAGTCTTCGCGGATCGAGAGGATTTCCTCGACGAGCCCTGCAGCATGCTCGAAGAAGAGGCCGTTGCTCATGAGCTGGAAGAGGACGACCGTGAGGTGGTCGTCGCGACCGAGGCGCTCCGCGACCGCCGGTGCAATGAAGCACAATTCGCGCAGAAAGTTCATCGACTCGGCGAGTGCTGTGAGCTTGTCCTGCGACGCTGCGTCCGTGCTGGGCGCGCGGCGCCGGCGTGTGTTGGACTCGTCCTGGTACGAATACGCGACGTTCGGCAGAGGCGCCGACGTGCCATGGGCGCCGGGGAAGAGCTCCATCGTGTCGTCGCCCAAGATCGCGTAGATGATGCGCAGTAGCACCTCGGGGCCACCCATCTGAATGAAGTTGTCGCGGTCGTCCTTGCGGGTCGTGGTGCCCGAGGGCGGGACGATCGAGCGCGAGATCGTCTGCAACGGGACGACGATCTCGACGAGCTTGTTAGCGTCAAGCAGCTCCTCAAGCTGGCGGATCTGCTTGAGCATGCGCTGGTGCGTCTTGCTCATGACGCTCGCAAGCATATCGATGGGCGGGAGCGCGATGAGCTGCATGCGCCCTGCACCCGCGGCCGATGGCGTCCCGCGCCGAGGCTGGGCTTCCCGGACAGAGCTCCATGTCGGGAACTGCCCCGTCACCTGCGCTTGACGTATCCGCATGAACATGGAGGCCTTGGGATTGCCGGTCGCCATGGTCGACCCGCGGACCCGGCGGCCCTCGGCGCGGTCCTGGCCCATGTCCGTGTCCCTCATCATCACCTTTCCCTTCTGGGCACCGTAACAAGCAAACGGGAATAAAAACCATGCAGCTATTATTTTAAAATTCTATAAAACCGTCTCGAAACACTATGTTAAATAAAAATAAATATAAAAATACAATGCCATCGGAATAAAATCAAGCGATCGCTCGCGAGTTTTCGGGTATTTATCCGGAGGGCGTTTCCGGGAGGTAAATTAACGTCTTGCCACCTCACTGTCGACTCAAAAGCGCACTTTCTCCATCGAAACTGTCGTTGCGAGCTGAACGATTGTCAAAGGATTGCTTGCGCTGTGTAGGAGGCCTGTGGTCACCCAGCTTCGTGCGTCAAGTAGCTGCAAGAGCCACAAGACGTCGATGGCCGGTTGTATTTTGCTGCAACCTAGAGAGGTCCAGGTCCAACGGACCGCTATAGCAAGGACCTGCTCCAATGCTCTTTGTGGTGCAGAGGGACAAGCTGTTTTTGACGCCTTTCAATCGAGTTCAATCGAATTCAGAGTCGGCGTATTCATTGACTTGCAAGAAACAGGCTATTATTCTGACTTCCGCAGTACTAGTACTAGTAGCCTCTTTTTTTCCATGTTCAGCTGCGTTGGTTTTACGTTGATTTTCTATATATGAACGTGTTTCGCGTTATCTTCGTTGTTACAAAGAGTTCGCATACGTAGAGACTAGCAATCTCCTTCTTCTTCATTCGCTTGCCAGCCGTGGTAGCGCAGGCGGCGGCGCGGGGGCTCGTTGTACTCTTCTGTGGTCGTCCGGGGGCGCATGTGGCCGCGGGTGAGGCCCATGACGACTCGCTGTGTAAAGGCCTTCCAGGCTGTGCCGTCGGCGGCAGAGCTACGCAGTTGGTTGAGGTCCTCAAGAGACGCCAGCGACTGAGGCGGCGTCAACGACTGGAGGTCGCGGTGCAGGACGATCGGCAACGTGATCTTGGTGCGGCCTAGAAAACGGGGCGCCTCGGAAGCGTCAAAGTAGCGGGCGGCGGCAAGGTTGGCAGCGACGTCTACACTCATGCGCAACACGTGACCCAGCAGGCGCCAGCGCTGGCGGGCAACGATCTCGCTCAGCGGGACGCTGTTGCAGCGGTCTTAGAGCGCGACGTCGCCGTTGATTTTGCGTCCCAAATACCACGCCGCGGCGTGCCTGTTCGCTGGGCGAACCCACCAAGACGTGTTCAAGTCGACGTTGATATTGCATGGAGAGGTGTACAAGATGCCCAGTGGGCAGACAAAAGTGCGGCATGCCGTCACAAAGCACGACCGATTGTGTTTTATACTCGATTTCTTGCATTCAATCGGGTGGACTATATCTTCGTCATACTCGTGCAACGGAGCAGCATGCCCATTTTAGTTCATGGAAACATTGGCAACCTCTCATCTGACATACCGGCATAGAACGACTTCTCAAAGCACAACCGGTGGATTTTCTACACGATTTCTCTTGCCTTCCCATGTCCTCCTCCACCACACTTCCGCCTGTGTTTGAATCGGCAGATTACGCAGTTCTTGTTGACCCGCAGATCGATTGCAACTGGCAACTGCACCACCAAATTGAGCCAAAACGACCCCACAGGCGTAGAGCCGCCAAAATGTTGTTTGGTGGTGGGTTCATTCTGAAATTGGAGGTATTTATAGGTCGAAATGTTTGTCGGGACAGCCTCCTGCGCCCAAGGTAGTAGGACCATGCCTTACTCTACGTCGCTGCAACGATCCGCTTGTAGCCATCGATGGCTTTGAGCACTCGTGCGGCATGTCCTTGCGCGGCTACAAGGCCAAGGGCCACTTTACGCCAAAGCGTACGTGTCGTAGGATAGGTTTTGATACCGACTTGGACCGCATCGTAGCCGCCGGCTTGCATCTCGATGCAACCAAGAGCGCATTTGGCGCCATGGTCGCCATTGACCCTGCCTTTGTACCGCCCCAGACCACAAGGACGAAGAAAGAGAAGACTCTGTCGCGCGCGTCCTCGAGCCAGTCCCGCGACCCGGCGAGAACGACGTATCGACCCCAGAGTGCTGCCCGCGCCAGGGCCGCGCCGGTCGACTTTGTCTACGACATGGACACGCGCAAGGAGCTGCGTCAAGCGCTCGACAAGGAGCGAAAAGAGCTTCTTCAACAAGCCCAAGAACGCGAGCGCAAGCTGCGAGACGCGAATCTCTGGCTCCATGACCGCCGCAACGAGCAGGGCCCCGTCAAGGCCAAGAGCCAGCCGAGAAAGACGACCCGTTCCAAGCCCACAAGCAAAGAATGCTGGACAAGCAGCAGTTGCGATGATCTTCTTCGCACAGTCCACGTCGCTGTCGAGATCAAGGACGATGCAGACGACGAAATCACATGGACATCATCGAGCGCGCCGGCAACCTCCAAGACGAAGACGAAGCATGGGCGGCCGTTAACGGCCAAAGGCCCGCGCAACTCGGTCGCAGAGAATGTGCACCGGTCGGCGCCGCAGACGCAGGCGTACCATCGTGGCAGCTAAGGCGGACGATGCATCGTTGTGCCAAGACGCGACGCGGTTTAAGTTATACATGTCCATCATGATTGAGGAGGAGGAGTGTGTACTGTTCGGCTTAGCCCGTGCGCAAGGGCGGCGCCACGAGCACGATGACGTCGCCACGCACAAAGAGCATCTCGACCTGGCGCTTGGCCTGCTTGACGATCTCTTCGTACGTCTCTTGGTCGACTTCATGGCTCGTCACGGTCTCCTCGACGTCGCTCAGGATCATGTTGAGGTGCTGGTCGTACGCCTGGAGCTTGCCGCGGAGCTCGCGGTCGCCCCGGCACTTGACGTAGATGCGCTCGTCGAGGCTGAGCTTGATCAGGTCGAGAGGTTCGTCGATCGAGGCCATCGCGCTTGCTGTGTGGTTCTGGCAATAGACTGAACAAATGTATACCACCTTCGCTGCAACTGGATTGGTCAAATTGATTCGAAAACGCGCCAATCGCAGCGGATCTTTAAAGGTGGCATGTGCCGAATGCCAGCGCGCCATCCTTGGTATCACGCCGTTTGATTGGCCGAAATGATAATCAATGGCCTTTCCGGTTGCACGCCAAAGGCGACGCCCATTGACTGGTCCAAGTCCGGGGCACAATTGAAGCTACTGCAAGATGGGCAAGGTCAAGAAGCGCCGCAACAACGGCCACAAGAGCGTCGTGCCGCCGACGGGCGGGCCGTCGCAGGCCGAGCTCGAGGATGCAGCCATGGAAGGCGGCATTCGCCAAGTGCCCGAGTTCCTCGCCGGCGTACGTGCATGATGACCTTGTCTGCAACGCTCACAACGCTGTGTAGTTGACGAGCTTGCAAGGCTCAGTGCGTGAAGCCACGTGCGTGGCGCTGGCGTCGTACTTTGGCGGCGATGACCAGATGTCGCCCGAAAAGGCCAAGCTGCTCCAAAAGATGCTGAACGGCGGCTTGATGAAGAAGCTTCTTCCGCGCATGGTCGACCACTCCAAGCTCGTGCGCCTCCACAGCGTTGGCGCGCTTCGGTACCTTGCACTATGCATCGATCTATTTCGCTGATGGTCGTGGTTTTATGTAGCAACATTTCCATCGCCGGTGGCCTTGACGTGTGTGAGTACATGACGTCGCAGGACGTCATCACGCCGTGCATCAAGCTCGTCGGCGAGTACACGACGGACGAGCACCTCAACGCGATTGTCAACAAGGACGTGCATGCGTTCCAGATTCTTGAGCAGATCTTTTCGCTGCTGGCCAACTTGGCCGAGAGCTGCTCGCTGGCGCTCGCACAGATCACGCAGCAGCGCAGCCTCGTGCTGCCCGCGCTCATCAAGTGCTTGCCGGTCAAGGCTGCGCCGTCGATGCAGATGGAAGCGTCCAAGCTCATGCTCGTGCTCTCCGACAACAACCCCGAGTGGAACGCCTTGATCAACGCCAACGTGAGCTACCAGCAAACGCTTCTGCAGCTGCTGCAGTCGCCCGAGCACAACATGTCGCTGCGTCTCACGACGATCGGTGCCGTCATCAACCTCCCGGGTGCGCTCGAGAACGCGGCGGGCCTCTCTCTCCTGCTCCCTGTGCTCTCGTCGGCGGTCGCGTACGATGCCGTCGGCGTCGTCTCGCAGGCGCAGCTCGCCTCGGAAAGTGTCCCGATTGCAGCCGAAGCCATGGGCAACGCCGAAATTGTACAGTGCGATCCCATGGCGATATACTAACGTAGCAACTGCGTAGATTTCGGAGACCGAAGACGAGGCCGACCGCGCCGCGATGGAGGCCGCCAACAAGGCCCAGCACACGATCAAGACGTGGAAGGAAAACGTCCACGTGCTGACGCTCGGCCTCGAGATCGTCTCCAACATGCTCGCCCTCGATGACGGTATGGCCATGTGTCCGTGTCGACGCATCTTCTCATGGATTCGATTCTTCTAGGCGATGACGACGAGGAGTGGGGCAGCGACGACGAAGAAGGCATGGAAGAGGTACTTTTGCCTGGACACAACGACCGCCTCGGTGCTCACGCCACTGATTCCGCAGGCGGCGCAGTCCCTCGCCGGCCAGGGCCCGCTCTCGTCCGCGAACCAGTCGGTCGCGAGCCAAGCCTTTGGTCTGAGAAGATGCTGGCGCGCGTACGTACACGATATCTCGATGGATCGAGTTGATTTATTGATAGACGTATGCCATGCTGCAAGCGCTCGTGGTCATCCCGCCGACGCTGCACGCCGACATTGCCGACGACTTTGGCCTCATCCGCGAACGTGCTTGCAGCTGCTTTGCCAACTTGGTGCTCGCGGCGTCGCGCGCCGGTACGCCTCGCCATACGGACACGATCATGGACTTGGAATGTCCATTCTTGTAGAGCTCGAGGCGTCGTTTTCGCTCACTCAAGTGTTTGCGAACCTCATGACCATGTACACGCACGTCGCGTCACTCACGTCGGAGCGTGACGTCGCTGCTGCCATGTACGAGTTGTCTCTCTCTCTTGACGCGCGTCTGATCGAGGCTCTAGCATGATGGCGGTCGGTGCGATCGTGACGCGGTCGGTCGACGACAAGATCGCGCTCGAGTGTGCGAACGAGCCGCTCGGGCTCGTCGTCGGCTGCGCGCAGAACGCAACTGCGTCGATCGAGGCGCGCACGGCCGCGATCCGCGTGCTCGGTACGCTTGGGAAGAAGCCGCACTCGCTGGCCGAGAACCAAGTGCTCGGCCAGTGCCTCGGGACGCTTCTCTCGGACACGGACCTCCAAGTGGTCTGCGAAGTGCTCAACGCGCTCTTTGATATCTACAGCGACGAGCAGTACGACGAGGTGTTTTTCCGCCTCAACTTTCTCGCGTCGCTCGAGCACGTGAGCGCGGGCATGAAGGCCAAGATCAAGGCCGAGGCCAAGACGCTGGACCGCGACCTTGTCGGCCACGCGAAGGAGACGCGCCTCAACCTCCTCCGCTTCATCAAGTACAAGAAGCAGCACCGCTAAGACCAATTCCAATGTCATTTTATGTCAGCGCTTTGGCGTCGACCAGCTGCGTCTTTTGGCAGCGGTACCCGAGCCGGATGAGACGCATCGCGGCGCGGTCGCCGTTGTACTCGACCGTCTTGGTCGGCCAGTACGTGACCGCGGCGTCGAACGGCCCGTTGACGTACCACCGAATGCCGGTCGTGCCAAAGACGTCCCCGAGGCAGGTCGGCAGCGTCAAGACCGCGGTCGTCGTGCTGCTCTCGGCTGACGTCATGACGCTGACTTGCGACGTCACGGTCGTGTTGCAAAAGCACTCGACGAGGTACGGGTCGGCGGCGGCAGCGCCCAGCAGAAGCGCAAGCACGACGCTGGCCATGTGCAGTTACTCTGGATACAACGCGTTGAACGTGAAACGACGGTGGGTAAACGCGTTAAACGAAGCACCGACAGGTCATTCTGTCGCATGAGACGCGACGTCAAGGACCCCTTGATTTTCTTGCACGAAGTATGGCACTACGCTTACCATGACCGCACGGCGGCTACGTTGTAGAGGGTAGCTCTGCACTGTAAAAAGCAGACCAGCACCAAGACCGAGCGACCAAGATGACGACCAGCTCGTATTTCGGCAAGTCCAGGGCGGTGGAGCCCACCGAGTGCGCACTCAAGGTGGCGGCCAAGGCTGCTTCTTTGGCCCAAACGGCTAGCTACCTGCCTCGCACAAACAAATGACCTGATTGTATGACATTAGATTTTAAACTTTTGGATGCACAAAAACAACACGAATTTTTCACTCAAAGCAAGAGCCAGTCGTCCGAGGCGTCGTCCGTGATGGCGAGCGTCTCCATGGCTTGCACGGGCGGCGCATGCAGCAACGCATCGAGAATGCTTTGGTCCAGCGCACTCAAATCGATGCGCTGCACGGGCTCGGACTTGCCCGCCATCGGTGCGTACGAGATGGACGGTAAGCCAAGGACTGAGAGCATGTGCCCGCCGTCGTCGCAGTCGCGTGCGAGGGCATATACGTGTGCATCGTACGAGTTCTACACCACACTCGTATGAGCGATGCGTACATCCGTCCATGTCGCTAGTGTACCGACGGGCGGGACGTGGCCTCTGCTTGGTGCGCGACCAAGACGAGCACGACTTCGTACAAGCGACGTTCGATCGCAACCGTCATGGCCGACGTCTCGCCCTAGTACATTCTGCGTGTGTTGCGTCCAAAGCGTATGAGCTACGTCGATGGTTTTATGGATGTCGACGCCAGCGCCGCGCTCGAGCAAAAGGACGACGTGGGCGAGGACCGTGTCGGCGTCAACGACACCCGTGATGCAGTAGAGGAGGACGCTGTGGCTACGACCCTGCTCAACCATGTCAGCGTCTCGACGCCACAACGAGATAAAGAATGTACACTGGCGACGGCGCTCGCCCCGGCCTCGAGCAGCTGCAGCGCAATTTCAGGCTCGTTGCAGTCGTACGCGGCCGAGAGAGGAGATACCATTCCCTTTTAGACAGACATAGTATGAGCACAGTGTCGATCGTAGAGCATCGCATCAGGTTGTACCGCCTTCCACGCAAAGCGCGCATTGAGGTCGTCGTCCGCGCGCATGTGCTGCAGAAAGCATTGGATGATGTCGGGCGTCCCGCGCGCGATGGCTAGCAGCAGCGCATTCCCGCCATCTTCCTACACCAGACATACTCGATCCGCGCAGCTTGTACGCAAGGGGTGTACCGAGAGCGCACGCACGCCGCGTGCGAGGAGGAAGCGAAGCATGTCCATGTCGCCCGCTTTCATCGCACGGTACAACACGGAGTGGCTGGTAGTGAGAAGGAACCCCGCGCGCGCTGCGTCCATTGCTTCAAAGGACGCGCCGTGGGCAAGGAGCACGTCGATGATGGGAAAGTACCGCTTCTGCACGGCCAAGTGCAGTGCGACGCCACCGGTTGCTGGCTACAAGTAGCGCTAAGAGATCTAACTCACGGAAGGGAGTGGGTTGGCGTAGTACGGTGAGAGCGCCGCGGTGCAGCGCGTCCATGACACCAATCGTCAAGCCCTTCTCAATGGCATCGTAGAGCAGGTCCTGCGGTACCGACACAGACGCCGTGAACGTCATGCGGTGGTGCAATAGCGGCGTGTCGCCTTCGAAGAAAAAGACATCGCAAGGACGCGGCAAGGTCGGGGCGCATGACAGCGACGCCAAAGCGACGCGCCACGAGTACTCGATGCCTGGCTGGAACGGACCGTCGAGCGTGTGGTCGACGTGTGCTGCGCTGCTTGACGCTTTGTCGTAGAGACAGTGCACGAGACGCAGCGACGGAATAAGGCGGCTCATGCGAAAATGGTAGGTGCGATGCACGCATCTTGGCTCACTGGGCACGCGACGTGCAGGTGGCCGTACGCGTCGTCCAAGCACTGCGTGAGCGACTGGTTGCAGGCTGCGCAGCCAATCTAGTGATATGTGTTCTTATTTGACCTACGCGCAGTGGGCGAGGAGCCTTTACGGTGGCAAACGGTGCGTCACTCCACGGCAATGTCAAGTGCAAACTCGTCAAGGCCATCGCCGGGTCGTTCCATGGCGCAGCGTGCCCTAGACCAGTTGTTAAACAACTGTGGATGACGAGACTGGACGGACCAACAAGAGGCCGCTCGAGTGCGAGGGCGTGGCTGACTGTGAATGGCATGGCTCGACGGGTTGCCGTTAAAATGGGTTGTGAGATTGGATTTGGGGCGCTGATCTGCATCGTGCGTTGCCAGATCTCTTCTTGAAGTACATGTGCATATGACGTTGTTGTATGGCAGGCACGAAAAACACCCAACTTTTTGCCACAGAATGATTGCGCTAACGTGCAGCGTCGATGACCAAAATTTGGTCATCGGTCAATCGCCACTTTACCTTATATTTCAGTTAATGAAGTAAGCTTATCTCTGATATGCACAAAGATAATGCTGGAGCGCTCCTACGCGTGCACACGAGACCTACCATAAGGGTTTCTCCCTCGTGACCGAGGTCACTCGCCTTCCTTGCCATCAGCAGTCACTGCAGCGTTCGATTCTGCCTCATCTGTGGACAACAACGAGACGTATATCTCACGGAGCATAATGGTATCTACCAGCATTGCTCAGTAACCCTCTCCATTCGAGTTGATACCTGCTCAACTGACTTGATAAAAGGAATCCTCTCCAAGATCTCAAATGACTATCATTCTATTCCTACTCGACTCGGATTGGTCCAATCTAAATCGCAGCCTTGCGATTGGTCCATCACTTTGCACTTCCAACAACCCACCCACAATCCAAGATGCTGACTCCGGACGACGCACGCGCGCGCACATCGCCGCTGCCCGACGGTGCGACGTGCATGGGCGGGTGAGAGCCCCAGTTCCCTTGTAGGCACAGAGCTCTTGGCGTCGCCCGGCCTCCGCTTCGACGCCTTTGCCATCACGGACGTAGGAAGGTTCAAGACCTTTTTCAAGGTATTCCAGAATCTACGTGCTGGCCATTTCATGGGCGCAAAATAGACGGGCTGCGCCGTGTGCGCGGAGGCCTCGCTCTCGCTCACGCTGCACGAGACGTCGGGGCGCATCCAATGCCTGCTTCCCGACGCCTTTTGGACGAGCCGCTATTTCATGTACCTCGTTGACTTTACGAGCGACGCTGCGCGTACCAATGTACACCTCGTGCAGTGCATCTACCTCGGCGACCACTGCATCGTCGAGTCGTTTTCGTTCGGCGCGATCGAGCCCAATGTCGCGTACCGTTGGGAGGTGGAGTGGATGAACCCCTTCTACTTCGAGACCCACACACGAGACATGCCGACGTGCAGCGACGTCTTTTACTTTGACGAAACCACGCTGCTCGCGCACCACCGTCTTTCGTTTGCGCCATTGCCCATGGCCGTCGGCGACCGTACAACCCAGCTCTTTAACGCGTTGGAGGCCGGGGCGCTCACGTCGATTCGCACGGCGTTGCACCACCTTGCCTATGTCCCACCTCTCTACAAGGTTCCCCAATCGTACTGCGTGTTACTGGTGCTCACGCCACGTCTGGGAACCGGTAGCACCGTTCGGACGACCGCTTTGACTGGATTGATCGCGGCGCGTTCGACGTTGTTCGGCTCCTCGTCGACCACGGTGCCACGCTCTCGGGGGTGACACCATACTCGCATCCGACTGGTTTCATGAGCGCGATATGGTAGACGTGTAGTGACCGGCTCCTCGCCCGCGCCCTCGATCACAGCGATGTCGAGACGGTGGGCTACGCACTCGAACATGGCGCAAACGTTCAGTCGACCAACTTTGTACGACGCCAAGCAAGCAGCCCTGAGACGCAATTTCTTGGTGTAGGAGCAAACGCTGCTCCAGCGTATGGTGCTGGCCGGAAATGAGGCTATGGTTGAGGTACTCGTGAGCGCGGGGGCGTACCTCGGCAATCCCTGCGATCTCCACGACAACAGCATCGACTGGGATTGCTCCCGGCGCTGCCAGGTACGAGTAGCTCACATCCTCGCATGAGATGTGTGGTGCTTATCCTTGGAGTGAATAGCAATCCGAAGCGCCCTTGGTCGCAGCGTACACGAGCAACCAGCCTCGCATGGCGCAGCTCCTCCTGGACCTCCACGCACCGATCGACGTGGTCCAGAAAGCCGTGCGTCGAGTAGCATCGCTCTCTCGTTCACCGACAGCAACACGATGTAGGCCCCTCGCAACGGCCTCCTGGCGCTCTGTCTACTGCATCTGACAGACGAGTGCGCGCGCCGGTGGCATATCCTGCAGCTCCTCGAGCGAGGCGCCGCCACCAGCATCCGCAAGCCGAACCAGGTACCATACTAACCTCGCTTTGATGTCTACCCTTGGATGTAAAGGGCGGGATGACACCGTATGCGCTGGCCACGTGGATGGATGAAGCCATGATCCTCGAAAGCTTTGACTTTTACACGAAAGCGGCCTCCGACACACCGGTAGCACCCCTGCTGTATGGCATCCAAGTGGCCCACGAAACGCTTGTAGCCAGACGACGACGACGCAGCGGATCTGTGCTGGCAGAGTCTCGCGACGGCCTGGCGTCTGCAAACGAGCACTTCATTGGAGCAACCCCCGCAAGGCAGCGGCTCCTCCGTCTACGAGTACGACTCGGACGTGTCCAGCGGCGAGAGCGACGACGACTGGACGCTTGTCGACGACTACGTGGACACCGTCAACTAAACTAGATGACGCTGTTCCCAAGCCTCATTCGATGCGAATATACCGCACGGTGTAGCACATGCGGCATGCAAACCTGCAACGAGTCGTGCGGATACCGGCGAACCTCTGGAATCTTTGCTCTACTATTACGTGTTTTTATCTCTGAACTGGTTTTAATTGATGTGGATGCGCTGGATCTCGCGGCCCACCTTGGCCATGGGCGTCCGGCTGTGCAGCTGAACAAAGTTGTCGGAGAGCACGAAGTCGCCTTTTCGCCACTGGTGCGAGTAGCAAAACGTGGCGTCGTAGAGCAGCGGCACCAGTGTCTCAAAGCACCACGCTTGCTCGGTTGCGTTCTCGTCCTCGGAGCCTCCATCTTTTTTCTGGATCGTGATCGTCGTCGGCTGGTACTCGGTGCGATCGGCCCCCCACGGTTCATGGAAGCGCAAGATCTCCTCGCCCGTCACGGGGTGGCGGCTCACAATGTCTGCGTAGTGGGTGAGGCTGGCCGACCCGTACATGGCGTTGGCAGCGGTCTGCGCCGTCATGCGCAAGCCTCGCAGTCGATCGACGTCATTGGCGGGCAGCGCGGCGAGGAGTCGACGCGAGTCGACAAAGAGCGTGCGTCCGTTCGTGTCGTCGTCCGGGTCGGGGTACGGCTGAAAGCACTGGAAGAATTGGTACAGCGGCACATCGCCGAGGACGTTGCTGTTTGGAATGCGCTTGAACATGCCGTCGTAATGGAACGCCATGGGCTCGTGCGACCGCGACGCGAGGCCCTCGAGCTTGTCCTGCTTGAGCTCGAGGATGTTGCCAGTGGGCCACGAGAGGATCTCACCGAGGTGCGACGCGACGGCCTCGATATCGTCGTTTTCGCAGAACCCGCGGAGGCACACCACACTGTGCTTGGTGGCGAGCGCCCGCAACGCGCGTGCTGGCAGCTCGCGCAGCGACAATGGATGATGGCGTGTGTTGTTGGCCGTGATCAGGAGACCTTGACGCCACGGCGCCAGCGTCACGTCCATCGCCGCCAACGCCGACTCGGGCGTTTCCACAAAGCCCCACGGTTGACCGCGTTTGGTGACGAGTTCGTAGCGCGTCGTATCCACCTCGTGGCGCGGAATCGCCGACACGGTGCCGTCGAGATCTTCGCAGACGACACAGTGCCACGGCGTGCGCGGGCGGGTCGTCGGCGCTTGCGGCAAGAGAAGGACGCCAAACTTGGGCCCGGCGTTCGACGTGGCGTGGATCGAGAGGCGAATCGCGCTCGGAAAGACCTCGTCGACGAGTCGGGCAAACGCGACGTTGCGCTGCAGCATCGCGTTGGCCGCCGCTCGCCGCTCGTCGCTCGTTGCCTCGGGCAGGTCGCGCGCGAGGAAGCCGAGGAACGTTGCGTGCGTCGCTTGCAGACCTGCGTCGTGCTGCAGAAGATCGTGGACGACATTGGCGTCGACGTGAAACCGGCGCAAAAGCGCGTCGATCGAGTCGGCATGGTTGTCCAAACTGTCAAAGACGATGTGTGCATGGTCTGCGGCCATGGCGACGAGCGCTTTCTTGTACGCGAGCACGACCGCTGTCGGCACACCGAGGATCGCACTGAAGACGCGGCCGTCGCTGAAGATGGTGACCGTCGCGCCCGGGGGGTACACGGCCCCAATCGCGGCGCACATGGCTTCGAGACGGCCGAGCGCGAGCTCTTCGCCGCGGTCGGGAAGAACCCCGAGCACCTCGGTGGCGGCATTTGGCGACTTGCAAGGAAACGCCGGCAAGACAAACGTGATGGGCAGGTCCTTCTCGACAGCGGCCGCAATCGATGCCGCCAGCAGTTGTTGGCCAGTGCTCACGAACACGTCGTTGGCATGGCCGAGGTTGAGGAGCGGCCGAATGGCGTCGAGAATCATGCCGTCGAGGCGCGGCGAAGGCAGAGGTGGACTCATGACTGCGCGCGTTGAAAAGTGCAGATCCTGAAGTGCACCCGTGCGTACAGATGTTTGTAAATTCGCACCCATGTCCCCTAGCCCTCGTATCCACTTGTGACGGTGCACGCCAGTGTGTTTTTTCGCGGCCTCTGATTTCCATCCCGTCATACACTAACTACTGCCATCATATTTCGTTTTTCTGGAGGAACAAAGACTGTCCCAAAGCTCTGTGCCAATCTTAGAGGCATTTAGTAGTGTTGTATCATATCGAAAGGACGAGAGCCCCTCGTCGGTGACGAGGTCGTGAGCTACAACGACCGCCATGGCATAGCAGTTGAAGGAATGTACAAGGCTTGGACGCTGCGCAACGGGCACGTACTACTCTACGATCTGTGCCATGCTGTTGACTCCACAGCGGACGCGCTTCACGCGTGGCGCACGACGCGTGCAGGCACCCATTCAGCATCGACCAGCGCATCCGATTGGCGGCGGACCGCAAGCCTCGGCGCTGCCTAGTCCAACAGCTGGCGCGTTTGCCTTGCAAAATGCACCGTCGACAATGTGTGGTACGGAAACCAACGGCACATCTTTGGCAGTCTATGTCTATACCGTACATACATACAGTTCTAATAGCTTGACGCTGATAATACCTGGTGCAAGAAAGTGCCTTCATAATCCAATTTCCTGCCTCTAAATCGACGATGGTGTGTCACATGGACCGAGTGGCCGTCGCGGACGCCGACGCAGGCGTGTCCACCGAGCCGACGCAAAAGGCGCTCCTCGTGGACAAGGACAAGGTGCTGGCCTCCGTGCTGGCCGCACTCGCGCCGCTCCTCCACCAACTGCCTGGCGACCGGTTTGAAACGGTCGGGCGTTTCAGAGTGGAAGATATTGTCGCTGACGCGGTCTCCCACCAACGCCCGATCACGTTTGTGATGCCAGCGTTTCCGTTCAAGTCGCCCAACGTCCGCGAGAAGACCCTCGGAGTCCTCCCCGACCGCGGCGAGGCCGTCGCGCTCGCTCGCCTCGATGCCCTCTGCGCGGCAATTGCGTCCGTGTACGTCCATGGAGCGCGCGCCGTCATCTTCAGCGACGGACGCATCTTCAACGACATCATCGGCGTCTCGCTCGATACAATGGACGCGTACGCGATGGCGCTCGAAGACTTGGCGCGCGACAGCGGGCTCACGCACCTCGTATTCGACCGGCTCGAGGCCTACACGACGACCGAGGAACCGAATACGGAGCTACTCGTGCGCTACGGCTGTGACCAGCTCGACATGGCGGCTCTTCTCAAGGAAGACAGCGAACTGCTCGCCACGTACCGGAGCTTTCGCCGGTTTTTGGCCAAGGACTTGGCGCTCACGTGGGCGGGCCTCAGCAAATCGGCGATCGACAAGGCCGCGGGCGTCGCTGCCAAGTGCATGATTCAGCGCAACATGGCGTTCTCGTCGCTTGTCGACGACTGCTACCCCCATGCGATCCGCCTCTCGATCCACGCGTACGACAACGCAGGCCCGAAATACAGCGTCGCGCTCATTCCGCAGCTCGAGAGCGCGATCCCAACGACACCGTGGCACTGCGTCATGTGCCAAGACCGCGACGGCAGCCTCCGTTCGCGAAAGCATGAAGACGTCGATACGAGCCGATATACGCTCGAGACCAAGTACGGCCGTCCGTGGCAGTACGTGGAGAAGGCGTGACCTGACCATGCCATGTAAATAGAGGTGTTTTTTATTTAGTTTTGCATGGTGTCTGTCTGTGTGGGGTTGGTACTCCACGTCCACCTATTTGAGTGCACTAGCAGCTACTACAGTGTACTGTGATCATCGACATCTGAGTTCGGATGATCACCGTGTGCATGTAGCCTAGGCACACTGCACGACCTTAGGGCAACACTAATTTAGGTCAAATACCACTCAATATAGTGTGCATATTGGACACTTCGCGTCCTGCATTGCATGGGCCGAGGACCGATGCACAGCAGGGACGGCAACGCGGGAGCTGCCCACCACGGTGTATTGAATCCACTTATCGTTGGTTCCGGCAGCCGCAGACGCGTTGAACGACGCGATTGAGGAGCATTGGCGAAGTATGCCCTATTTTGGTGCCGTTAAGAGCATTTTTGTCCGACTCTTGTCCGGCGTGGAATTGCTGTCGAGCATCCGGTTACCAGTGTAGCAATGCTTGTCGCATTGCGCAAGGCAGTCCGTGGGCTCGTGCCGGGGCCGGCCGACGAGCCCAGCGACGGGCACCGCCAAAAGATCCTTGCGACGCTCAAGCACTATGAGAATGTGCTTGCATCAGCTGTGTCGCCTGCCGAGGCCAAGGCCGCACAGGACCGCCTCCTTGCCACGTGGCGCCGCCTCGCGCTCGCGCCCGGCGGGTTTCTCACGCGGGTGGGCGCCTAGGGCCGCTCCGATCGACGTACTCATTCGCCTTGGTGTAGGAGCTGCGCAAGCGCATTTGGCCGATCCTCTTGGGCTTTACGCCCGAGTCGCTCGAAGCGTTCTTTGTCGACCACCGCCTCAAGCCGCAGACGCCGGGGTACCGTCACCGAGCCCACCCGGACGACGACCAAGTGCAGCGCGACGTTGATCGGTCGCTCAACCCCGACATGTGGCACGACGCGCCGACGCTGCACAACCGGCGGAAGCGGCGCAAGTCGCTCTACTCGCTCGTCCACGCTGTGCTCTGCAGCGCGGAAGCGGACAACGTCGAGCTGCACTACTACCAAGGCTTCCACGACGTCGCTGCGGTCTTTCTATTGACGACTGGCGTACATGCGGCGACGCCGCTGCTTGTGCGTGCCAGCGCCACGTACTTTCAAGAGCCGATGCGCACCAACTTTGACTCGGTGCTCGCTATCTTCAACGTGCTCTACCCGCTGCTGCAGACGCAGGACACGGAGCTCTACGCGCATATCATGGCGTCCGGCGTGCGTCCTCCTCTCGCTGAAGCAACACCTTGATACGACACACTAGGTGGACCCGTACTTTGCGCTGCCGTGGATGATTACGTGGTTCGCCCACCATATCAAGGCGTTTGACGACGTGTGTCGCCTCTACGACATTCTGCTCTGCTCGCACCCGCTCTTCTCCCTGTACCTCTCGGCCGCGGTACGCGAACCTTCGTTTGATGCTAGCTCGACGGAGCGTTCGTAGCTTGTCTTGCATCACCGCACGCGCCTCCTTGCATGTCCTTGTGACTATGCCGAGATGCACTCGGTGCTCTCCAAGCTCGTCCACAGCATGCCGATTGAAGGCATGGTCGATATCCTTTTAGCCGCATTTTCTGCTTGATATGTTGATACTTTACAAGTCGCCTTGACAGCTTGTACCCAAGGCCAATGGGCTGCTGCAGCTCGTGCCACCGGCCCAACTCCTCGAGATGAGTCGCCTCGCAAATGGCGACCCCATTCCGCAAAGCTGCTTTACCACGTACCCGTTCCCGCACCAATCGACCGCCCAAGAAACGGTGCCTGCGTACGTCCAGCTGCGTGTGAGATGTTGCCATAATGCTTCTGTGCCTATATAGGTCGACGTCGTGGCTCGAGGCATTGGCACCTCGCCACGTGCAGCTCGTCCTCGCGTCCATGGCGCTTGCCGTGCTCGCGTCCGTGCTTGCCATGCCCATCTTGGACCAGCTACAATGACGACGACAGCACACATGCAGCTTACATATTGACTTAATTTCCTCGAAAAGAGCACTGCCCGACACACGGGGCAGCTCTTGTCCCGGTCGACCCACTCGTACAAGCACGCGAGGTGAAAGTTGGTCCTGTTGACGCCGCAGTTGCAGAGCGTCCGGATCTTGGGGTTCTCGTCCGAGAACGTGTCGAGGCACATAACACACTCGAGCTCCAAGATTGTCGTATCGGTCGAAGACCTCGGCTACAGCACGGACGCATGAGACCTCGCCAGGCGCGCTATGAGCTACCTCGCTCACACCGCTGGCCTCTGTCTTCTTGGAGCTCGGCGGATGCTCCATGCCCTTGTAGACGAAGGCTGTGTACGCCGACTCGTGGTCGAGTGTGCGCGGATTGCGCTTGACGACGCTGGCCTCGATAGCCTTGGACGGCTGGTGGAGGAGGCCCTCGGCGCGCGCCGTGGCGTCGCCCTGGAGCGACATGGGGCTCGAGCTCGAGCGTCGCCGGCTGTGCGGGTGGCTCTGGTCCAAGCATGAGCACGACTGCCCCATGGCGGAGCGGTTGCGAAAAGGTAAATGAACAACGCTGGCTTTTCTCCCACGGGTGCGCTGCGTTTCGTTCGATTTTATTTTCCAAAGCTTTTTTGCGGGCCGATTGCCATACAATTTCACAGAGCGTTTACCACAACAGCATTATATTACACTGGCCGTCACGATCCAACGTGCATTTTATTACATGAAATTTTGCTCGTGCTCAAGTCGCTTGGTATCATCCGCGGACGCCTCCGCGGGACATGCGCGGCCGTAGGACTCGGTCGCCGTCCCTGCAAGCGATCGCATGCGATGCACATGCGCCTGCATGAGCGGTGAGGCCATGGCAGGCCAGGCGGTAGCGAGCTGCAGGAACGCCATGGTGCTGTACGTGCTGGCATGCAGGCAACGACAGAGAGGCCCGGTCGACTGTGTGCCATCTCTGTGCCATCTCTGAGAGCGCCAGGTTGAGCACCATATGGCTCTGTACGATGGCGTACTTCAATTGATCATTGCTGCGACGCAGGCATCCATGTGTACATAGTAGGTACCGCCTCCTTCGCCATCGGTATGTCGAGGAGATCGCCCGTCTTGCGTTGCTGTCGGCGCCATGGGCGCGGCCGTACACGGAGCCATGGTGGTGCTGGGCGGGGTGCGTCCTGGATTTACCGTTCGCTGGCGCAGATTTTTCCTGGATGTTTACCAAAGACAACCCACTGCACCGTAGTACCTCAACGAGCGAGGAATGGACACGACAGCGCGCATCAAGTCGCACCGGGGGGCAAGGTGCGACGGCCGCGCGGCCATGGGCGTCGCCGCAGGTTCTTGTGGTCCCTTGCCGCCAGGACGCTGGCCACGCGTGGTTCCAAATCCCACGTTGCCAGCGAGCTGGTGTGTGATTGGTGTAAATGTAACTTTTATAGGCCATGCACGCAATCGGATTGGTCTAAAAGAACGCCACTTGGGGATCCTCGAAAGACATCAGTGGATTTTGCGTCGATGGAAGCCTGGAGCTGCGAGAAGGTCGCCGAGTGGCTCGAGGCCTCGGGCTTTGGCGAGTTCGCGCAGGTACACCCCTCCTCGCGCAGCATGCGACTGACCTCCGAGGTAGACCTTCCTCGAGAATGAGATCTCGGGCGGTACGTCCATCATGCAGCCAGAGGTTGTCCTCATGGCCCTTGCTCCACGATGTAGCCATTCTGCCCGACTTGACCAACGAGATCCTTCGCGACGATCTACAGATCAAAGCTCTTGGCCGGCGGGCCAAGATCCTCGCAGCCATCCGCGACATCAATGACAGGTGGAGCCTTCAGCTCGACGACAGGCGCTCGACGATACGTGTAGGGACAACGTCTTGGACCTCGCTGTCTTGCACGCAGCGCCCCTCGTGCTCAGGATCTACCCCAAGGATGCACCACCCACAATCTTGGCCATGGAGAAGCTGGACCTCGAGGCCGAGCGGCTCGCGCTCCAGCAAGCGCTCAACTCGGGCTACCTCGGGCGCATTCGGCTGCGCTTTGATGTGGCGACGACCGACTCGTTCCGTGCGCTCTTGACCGCATGGCAGTGCAAGGTATACAAGCTTGTTCAGGAGACTCTCGTTCACGATCTGCGCAGGTGCTGCACTTTTCCGGCCATGGCGTCGGGCACAACGAGATGCTTTGCTTTGAGGACGGCGCGGGCTGCACGCACATGATTTCGCCAAAGTCGCTCCGCGAACTCATCTACAGCGGCGCCGTCGGCGCCACCGACCTCCTCCAAGTCGTCTTTGTGAGCTCGTGCCACAGCGAGCGGCTGGCCAACGTCTTTGTCGAGGCCGGCGTACCCCACGTCGTTGCCGTGCACTCGGACTCGCGCATCTTGGACTCGAGCGGCAACATGTTTGCCAAGCACTTTTACCTCTCGCTCTTCGCGGGCCGGTCGGTCCTCGCAGCCTTTGACATTGCCAAGACAGCGGTGCGCGCCTTGCCGCCCACCAACAAGCGCGCCTGCTGCTGCGCGTACGCTGCGATGTTTTGTTGTCGACTGCTCAGCCTATCCATGTAGACACCTCCACGAGCGAACGTGTCAGTGGGCGCTCTCGGGCATGGTGCATGCGCGCCATCCGCCCAACCGCTGCTGCTGCAAAGGCGAGACGCTGCCGTGGCCCCACGACGAGAGCTCCAAGTTCCTCCTTCTCGGTCAAGCGGATGCATCGCTCCACGACGTGGTCATCTTTCCCAAGCTGCCACGCGGGAAGCTCGTGGACTTGACGCCGCACTGTCCGTCGAACCTCCCCGCCATGCACGGCCAGGTAGATTGCTACCCGTCCATTTCTGTATGGAGGTACTACCATGGAACGGCTAGTTTGTCGGACGCAACGTCGACACGTACAACCTCGTGCGCTCGATCGTCCAAGGCAACGTGACGGTATGCAATCGCGATAAACGTGATCTCATGCGTTGTAGGTGTGCACCGGGGCACCAGGCATTGGCAAGAGCTCGCTCGTCATTGCAGCCGCGCACTTTGTGCTGCAGCGCAGGATATGCCCCGACGGCGTCTTCTATGTGGATCTCGAAGGTCTCGCGGGCCTCGAGTTCTCGGCCGTGCTGTACGTGCCATCACGTCGATCTATATATCAACGCGGCGTGTAGGTATGCAATCGCCCAGAGCGTCGGGCTCCCCGTCGGCGAGAACACGACCGATAGCCAGCTTTTTGCCGAGCTCGGCTCCAAGCGCTGCCTCCTCGTGCTCGACAAGGTCGAGGAGCTCCTCGACCGCGACCAGCGCAAGTGTGAGGCGTTCCTTGGCCAGCTCGTCGCGACTGCGCACCATACGCGGCTGCTCCTCGGCTCGCGCCGCATCCCGGATATCGCCAACGTCACAGTCACGTCCGTCAACATCTCGGAGCTGCCGCTCAAGATTGCGGTAGCGTGCCACACAGCGTTGTTGGTGTTGACGAGACGCGTTTTGTAGACGGAGCTCATCTTGTCGATGGCGCTGCAATGCTCGCCTGTTGAAGCAGAGCGACTCGCGACCATCTGCGGCAAGCTGCCATTGGCGCTGCGCGTCGTCGGCCGGGCCCTCGCCAACACGCGCTCAAACGTGACGCCCCAGGACCTCATCGAGCGACTGCAAGTACGTCTACGCAGCACTGCTGCTTTTCGCTCATGAGGAGTCGTCTCATAGGTTGAAGACCACCGCCTCGAGGAGATCAACAACTTGTCGGAAACTGGCCAGAAAGAATGCCTCGACCGGTGCATTCGATCGTCGTTCACGCAGCTCGACGCGCCGCTCCGGCTCGCCTTTATGGCACTCGGGCTCTTCCGCGGTGTGTTTGATATGAAGGCCGCGTGCGCGGTCCTGCAGTCGTTTACGTCGCCGTCACCGCTCATGAAGACGCACTCGTCGCCATCCATCTTGTCATCATCGACGCCCTCGATGTTTGCGCCGCCATCGTACAGCCGGCAGTATGGTAGTAGCAACGCACTGGACGAGTGTGCGTCGACGGCCGCGTCATCCGCGCAGAGCCTCGGGTGGGAGCTCTACCACATTGACGACTGCTTCGACAAGGACGACGCGCTCACGACCATGTCGTACTCGCTCTTGAACCTCGAGAGCCAGGAAGAGGTGACGGCGCATGCGTCCGAGGTCGCGGCGGCAATCCCGGCGCTCGAGCAGCTCAACCAATGGTCGTTAGTCGAGAAGGTCATGCCGATGATACTGCGAAAGACGACACGGCACGTGTTGCCGCAACACGCGCGCTTCCGGCTCCACAACATGATCCAGCTCTTCGCCGAGGACGAGGCCGCCAAGTTTTCCGTCTCGTCACCGGAAGGCGCCGCGCTCTTCTTGGCATGGCGACGCCGCTTTGTGCGACATTACTGCCTCGTGATTGCGAATGCCAGCCACGCGTTCCGCTACGAAGGGTCGCTGACGCTCTTTGACTCGGAGCGCTCGAACATCGAGTCGGCGCTCCGGATCGCCCACCAGCTCTCCAAGCACAGCGAAGAGACGGCGCGCGAGCGCATGGCGACCGGCTGCGAGGACGACGATGGCGGCTACGCGCCCTTCATCGACGTGCTACTCCATAGCAACCTCATGGTGCGCGGCCGCTTCATCTTTCGCGCCCGCATGGACCCGCGCTTCCGCCTGCGCTTGTTTGCGACAAGCATCCAATTCTCCAAGACCGCGCGTGTCCTCAACTGCAAGTGCGGCCATATTGAGAACAACTCGACGATCCTCGACACGAGCGATATGCCGTCGAGCTATGAGCCAAGCCAAGCACCGGAGGCTGCCCCGCCCTGCGCGTGTCCGGGCGTGATGGAGCTCCTTGCGCTCGAGGTGCTCATGGTCATGGAGATGGGGTACGCGCACTATGACGTCAACGAAGACGCCAACGCAGAGCACATGTACCGCGAGTCGCTGCGCATCCAGCAAGAGGTCCTGCACCGGACCGACCACTCGCACGTCGCGGAGGCGCTCAATTACCTCGGGATTGTGCTCTCAATGCGCCGCGGCTTTAGCCCCGTGAATGCGTGGAAGTTCCGAAAGGCCGAGGCGCTACTGCTGCAGGCCAAGGAGATCCGCGAGCGCGTCCTTGGGCCCGTGCACCCCGACTATGCGACAAGCTTGAACAACCTTGGCAACTTTTACAAGTCGGCGCTCACGATGCTCAAGGACGAGGGCGATAGTTCATCGATGGGCTTGGGCTACGGCGGTGTGCTTCTCAAGACCAACGATGAGATCCAAGAACTGTATGAAAAGAGCCTCTCGATCTACGAGGCGCACCTCGGAAAGGACCACCCGCTCGTCGCACGGAGCCTCAACAACATGGCGCTCTTCCTCGTGCACATCACCGACAAGTTGCCCAAGGCGTACGTTCTCGCTACCTCGATGCGGTCATCAAAGCTGGCGTAGGCGCAAACCGTCGCCGCAAAAGATGTCGGAGATTGACGCCAAGATTGAGCAGCTGTACCTACAGGCGCTTGACATTCGGCGCAAGAAGCTCGGCAATAAGAACCCCGAGACCGCGGCGACGCTCAACAACCTTGGCAACCACAAGTACAACCAGGTACAACCCAACGCGTTTTGTCTAGACCGCCACTCGTATGGACGATGTAGGGGCAATATGCAGCGGCCGAGACATACCTGCGCGAAGCGCTCACGATCCGGCAGCAGTACTATAGCAACACCAACGACCGCGTGTCCGTGACGCTCCTCAACCTCGCGCGCATTCTCGTAGCCCAGGAAAAGTACAAGGAGGCTGAAATGATGTACCGCGAGGCCGAAGCCATTCGCCAAGTGCTCATGCCCAACTCGCGCGAGCTCGGCTTTTGTATCGAAAAGATTGGTCGCTGCATGCTGCGCCAAGGCTTGGAGGACGAAGGGAAGAAGCTCATCTCCAAGGGCCAGCACATGAAGCGGCAGTCGGGCTTCCAGAGCCGGCGACCGTCGACCGACTCGTTTGGGTCGTTTGACACGGCGTCTGTCGCGTCCGAGTCGTTCAACGACTCGTTCAAGGAGCAGCTGTACATCCACGACGTGCTCTCGGACGAGGTACGACAGTGGGGTGTCGCATCGCTCATGCCACGGCTAGGCACTCTCGAGCCCGGACTTTAACGTCGAGGGTCAGATCATTGGCAAGCAGGGCGCCAACCTTCGCCGCATCGAAAAGGAAAGCGGCGCCCAAGTCAACTTTTTGTCTCAAAAACGACCGCGCGACGGCGAGAGCGCCATTTTGAGTTTGTGGGCACATGCGAAGATGCGGTCGCGGCCGCCAAGACGCTGACGATCGAGCACCTCAAGGACATTCAGTTTCGGTTTGAGAAGAAGCTTGCGCAGCCGCCGGGCGCGTCGACGCAAGCGACCGGTCGACGCCCACCTCGGCACGACGAGCGTCGAGGCAAGGCCGGGCGCGCCGGTCACAAGAGCCACCACGGGGGTCGTGGCAGCAACAACAACAGCAATAGCAGTCATGCTGGTGGCCGCGGTGCGGGACGGTCGTCGACGATGCACGTCTCTCTCGAAGACTTGCTCCATAAAAAGTAGCAAGATCACCAAGTCTCGTGACGACACTTCAAGATTGCGCGGCCAATGACCGCTCTGATGAGCCGGTTACACGAAACCGTTCGGTTGATGGGCTGTTGACCAATCGCGTGGCGATTTGTCATCGCTAGACGTTTACAAATCGGTGAAGTTGCCCTTTGACGACACCGTGTCATCGCTGCACGCACGCCCCTCGCTGTCCGCAGCGCCCTCGTCGCATCGCGGCCATGATTCCAATGGATTCTTAGAGCTTAGTGGAGCTTGCATCATGAGGAAGACGACGAGTTGGTCGAGCGTGCTTGGTGGAGCTCTCGTGCAAAGGTATCTGAGTTGGAACAGCAGCGGTCGCATGTTTATACTATCACAGCGGGCTATCAGGCGGCGTGTAGTTGTTAGTCGAGTGCGCAGATGGTAGTCGACTTGCCTCGGATTACTGGAAGGAGCCCTTGGATCGCCATCGTCGTTCGCTCGATTGCCAAGCCAACTTGAAGTTTGTCCTTCGAGTCTTTTTCTCCAACCGTCAAATCGAGCTTGATATTTGTATTGCAATAAGTGAGTCATTAAATGGGCTAAGAAACTTCGAAACCGAAGATCGAAAGAAGATTTTGGGGCTTGTGGCTCAGTTTTGATTTGCAGCATGCTTCGCCAAGCCTCCCGCCTCACACGCGTCTCCCGCGCCGCCCTCTTCCACCAGCGCTTCGCCTCGAGCAAGGTCTTCGCCTCGTCGGACGAGGCCGTCAAGGACATCAAGAACGGCTCGACCTTGTACTGCCAGGCTACATGGTCGGCATCGATGGCTCATGGACATGCTTCCTATGTAGGATCGTTGGTGGCTTTGGCCTCTGCGGTATTCCCGAGAGCTCGATCGACGCGCTCGTGCGTCAGGGCGCCAAGGACCTCACGTGCGTCTCCAACAACGCCGGCGTCGATGACTACGGCCTCGGCCTTCTCCTCCAGTCGCGCCAGGTACTCGCCTTGGCACAATCAAGGGTGGTGATGCTCAGCTGCTCGATGTATTAGATCAAGCGCATGATCTCGTCGTACGTTGGCGAGAACGCCTTGTTTGAGAAGCTCTACTTGACGGGTCAGCTCGAAGTCGAGCTCACGCCGCAGGGCACGCTCGCCGAGCGCATCCGTGCCGGTGGTGCTGGTATTCCTGCCTTCTTTACGCCGACCGCGTACGGTACCATCATCCAGGTGCGCTTCGCCATGCGTGCTCGCATGCCTTACCATCGAGCAGGAAGGCGGCTTCGGCATCAAGCTCAAGGCCGATGGGTCCGTGGACATTCCGAGCAAGGCGCGCGAGACGCGCGTCTTCAACGGCCGCAACTACGTCATGGAGGAGGGTATTACGGGTGACTTTGCGCTCGTGAAGGCCTGGAAGGGCGACAAGGACGGCAACCTCGTCTTCCGTGGCACGACGCGCAACTTCAACGTCGACGCGGCCAAGGCCGGCAAGACGACGATCGTCGAGGTCGAAGAGCTCGTCGAGATTGGCGAGTTGCACCCGGACGAGATCCACGTCCCGGGTGTGTACGTCCAGCGCATCTACAAGGCCGAGCGCAACGAGAAGCGCATCGAGCGCCTCACGGTCTCGGACAACGCTAAGAGCGCCAAGGTCACGCCGGACCGCGAGCGCATCATCAAGCGCGCGGCCAAGGAGCTTGCGGACGGTATGTACGTCAACCTCGGCATTGGCCTCCCGACGCTCGCGCCCAACTACGTCCCGGCTGGCGTCTCGGTCGTGCTCCAGAGCGAGAACGGCCTCCTTGGCATGGGTCCGTACCCGAAGCTCGGGTCGCAGGACCCCGATCTTATCAACGCGGGCAAGGAGACGGTCACGTACCTTCCTGGCTCGTCGACGTTCTCGTCGTCCGAGTCGTTTGGCATGATCCGCGGCGGCCACATCCACCTCACGATCCTCGGTGCGCTCCAGGTCGCTCAGAACGGCGACCTCGCCAACTGGATCATCCCTGGCAAGATGGTCAAGGGCATGGGCGGCGCGATGGACCTCGTCGGCAGCGGCAACCGCGTCGTCGTGACCATGGAGCACAACGCCAAGAACGGTAGCGCCAAGATCCTCAAGAGCTGCTCGCTGCCGCTCACGGGCAAGCAGGTCGTGAACCGCATCATCACGGAGCTCGCGGTCTTTGACTGCACGCCTACCGGCCTCGTCCTCATCGAGCACTCGCCCGACACGACGGTTGACGAGATCCGGGCGCGCACGGAAGCCGACTTTACCGTCTCGCCGACGCTGTCGCTCATGGAGTAAGGCTTAATGTTACACCGTCCGTTTATCACCGTTTCAGCGCCGGTGCCGTTGGACGCGCCATACTAGCTGGGATGGGGATGGGTTGCAGTCACTAGAATACAAGAGGAGGCATGCCCGCCAAGCCCGTCGACGCAGGACGCCCGCAAGAGATCGACTATGTGTCCAAGCAAGCCAACTTGACGGCGCAGATCGAGAGCGAGCAAATGGCCGCGAAGCGCTGGTGGGACGACTTTGGGCTCTGCTACATTGACAACTCCAAGGCCGAAGACTTTACGTACGAGAACCGCATCAAGAAGCTCCAGGAAAAGCTGCAGGATGAAAAGTGCGTTCATCGAGTTCTGGCGTCGGCTCACGCGGCGTTCATAGGATGCAAAAGGCCAAAATGACGACGACGAGTGCTGCGTACGGCACGGGCAAACCCTTCAAAGAGTGCACCACCAAGAAGGCGCTGTTGCTCAAGAACCCAACCAAGAAATAATGATGATGAATCCCAATACGACAGCATCCCGAGCACCAGATCTTCTGCTGGGTCCATTCGTCTCCCTCTTCTGGCATGGATGCAGATCTGATACGCATCCGGATACCGTGGCTCGAAATAGCAACGGTTATTCCCAGTGCGACGACGATGAACCCGGAGGAGGACGTTCGGATCGAGAAGAGTCCGCGCCGCACGCCGCGCTCCAAGACGACGTCCAAGCTCAAGCAGAGCATCTCCGAGTCCAAGATGCTCCAGCTCCTCGACATAGCGCTCGACCCGAGCTCCAACCAGACCGACGACGGCGCCGAGAACGAGCTGCTCTGCGACTCGACCATGGTGTCGCTCGCGTCTGCGTGGACGCCGGAGCACCAAGTACGCTATGACCTTTTCTGCATATCACACGATTGTGTAGGCGTGCGACCGACGGGGCGTCCTCAACACGATCCGCTCCATCCACCGCACCAAGCAGCCACCTTTGTCGACCCCCAAAGCGTAGGCCTGTGTTTCCAGTGCATTTCCAAATACATTCTTTCGCCGACTTGTATCATACAAAAGACCTGGAGAGGAAGATGTAGATGATTCTCATCTTATCGAGTCTGCTCGCCCTTCGAGGTGCTCGCCCTTCGAGGGTGCGGGAATTCCTTGCGTTGTCAAGATGTACGCCAGAAAAACGAGCCGCGCCGTTTCCGGTTTCTTCCGGACATCGGATTGGCCGTAATATCGTGGGGGGCCATCTTGGCGCTGCCAGAGATAGCTGTCGAGAGCAGCACTTGTCTCGACGACCGAGGATGGGCGTCAAGTACTCGGTGCAAGCGATCAAGCAGACGAAAGACGGGATGATCATCCTCGGCGTGCGCTACAAGCGGTACTTTGAAGAGCGATGCCCCGACTTTGCCATGGTGCACCCGCGCATCTCCAAGGACGTCCAGGCGCTCGTGCTTGCCAACTGGGCGGCGATATCATCTGGATCGACGCCCGCGCTTCTCAAGGTCAAGCCGGCGTCGCCCGTCGTGTACTTTTACGACTACTTTTACGGCATGATCTTTGAGAAGGCGCCGGCCGTCAAGCCCCTCTTCCGGTCGTCCATCATCGTGCAAGGCAAAGCGCTCATCAACATCATCCAGAGCATCACATCGGCCGTGAACGCGCCCAACGTCATTGAAAAGGTGTGTGACCTCGCGTACCGACACAACAAGTACGGCGTCAAGATCGAGTACTTCAACTTGCTCGGGAAATGTCTCCTCCTCGCCATGCACGACTGCACGGGCGACACGTTCACCGACGAGCTCCGCGAGGCGTGGCGCGCAGCGTACGCGTACATGGTCATGGTCATGACGCCGATCTTGTACCACGGTATCGTGCACCCGACCGACGAAGACAAGGCTCTGTCACGTCAAGGCCGCGTCCAGCAGTCGATCTTTACGAGCCTCTCGTACTGGCGCCACCGAACCGTGGCCGTAGGCCCCGATGCATCGCTCATGTGCCCTGCAAGTCCCGGGATGGACTCGATTCTGCCCGACGCCAACGCTCCTCAGTGCCCGTATCAGCGATAGCTATCAAATGATAGAAATGCTACTTTGTCGTTGCGGGAGTGACTTTGGGTTGCAAGTGGCGCGTTATTAAAGTGCGTAGAGCCAGAGACTGTGCGGGTGCAAGGACGGGTCTGTGAGCGGGTACAAGAGCACGGAAAACCCCACAATGCCGAGAAGGTAGACGAGCAAGATCGCTACACAAGGCCATGAGGTGCGGCGTCCAAGGAAGAGTCGCAGGCTACCGTAGCGAGAGGAAAACAACGGGTTCTCGCTCGAGAGAAATCCGAGGTCCGGGAACCCCATCGTGTTGCAAAACGCGTGCACAACGAAGAGTGCCCAGAATTGGCCTGCCATGACAATATGACCATAAACAAGTAGACAGGAGGGTGGGATACCTGTGCGCAAGTAGAGAAACGTGACGTAGATGCCAAAGACGGTCGTATAGCACAGCTGGAAGACTACGCGGGGTACGTGAGCGTCGGGATTAGATCACAATGGCCTGTCTACCGACGATGAGCAGCGCACGCGTCCACGGCATACCGCTGCGCACGTGCTCGACAAAGTGATGCATGTGGGCTGCAGAATACACAGCGATATATCAAGATACGACAAGGAGAACGTACCGACGCCAAACGCGAGGGGCTGCCTACGATGATCTGGCTGGCGGAGAAGCCAGCGCAGAGCAAGAGTGGGGCCATGCAGCTGCGAAAGACAAACTCTTCCGTGAACGGCGCCTACATACATATATGTCTCCACAATGGATTGCAACAGCCAGACAACGTACGTAGAGGTACGTGCGGATGGCCTGGATGCGCTCGTACCGCGCTTGGTGTGCGAGGGACGTGCCTTCGAGCGCCTTGGACCACGACGACGTGCGCGCCGTCGCCTGCAGCTCGAGAAGGTACGCAAAGAGCGCGCCCGCAAAGAGGAGCATGGTCACGCAGAGCGAGAGGAAGGTGCCGACGAGCGTCGCGCGCACGTCCCAGTGGAAGCCGAGCCACGCGGCCAGCGAGATGCCATTCGCGCTCTACGAGCAATCTTCAGTGCATGCCACACGAGGCGGACGCACCGGCTCGTAAAAGCACAGCATGCACAGCGGGCACATGCTGCTCACGACACTGATGAGAAAGAAGCGCATGATAATCTAGTGGGGCGGAGTCAGCATGTATGGCATGGGCAGCCCCTCGGACCTGCGACGGGTGGTCGCGCGGAAGGGCGCGGATGCTTCGCGGGGCGCAGTAGAGGATGCCAACGTAGGCAGATGCCATGCCCAGGCACGAGAGCACGGCCTGCGCGGGTGTCACGGCAAACTTCATCGGCGCAAAATGCACAAACGATGGCGTTTGGCCAGCATCCGGATACGACGACCGGATACCGTGTGGCCTTTCCCATCCAAGATAGGCCGACTCTCTTTGTATCTCTGCGATACTAGAAGACGACAATAATGCGTACAACAAAACCACACGATATCAAACAGTACAAAAGTTTATTAGCTCGACCTAGACGCGTCGGACCCATCCTCGCAATAACAATTGGTGCAGAGCCAAGAGGAAGAGACACTTTGCCTTGCTTCCAATCCTCGAGGTCGCTACTTGGTTCACTGCTGCTGCGAGTCGAGCAGAATCGATTGTAAAATGAGCGCGACGCTGTCGGCCGCCACGTCCCATTGGGTTGGAGAGTTGTTGGCGATTTCAACGAGCCGATCGATGCACGCGACGGCGACGGCCGGTGCGCCCAGACTCAGAGCCATCGGTAGCAACTCGGAGGAGACGCGAGGACCGAACGCTCCCATGACGCACGATGTCAATGGCTCGAGGTCGAGGACGTGCGCGACTTGAATTAGCTCGACCGCTTGCGCTACTGACAAATCACGCACCTTGGGCAAGGCCTTCCGCAGCGTAAAGTCGTGGATTGCCAGAGCGACCGGCGACGTACTCTCTTGCGTCAGCCGCAACCGACACTCGGCCACGACCAGCGACGACCGGGTCTCACAAAGATGACGCATCGCCGCCAGCATGTCGTTCAGCAGCTGCGGACTGTTTTTAATTGACGTGCGGAGTGTGGTCTGAAGCACCAACGAAAAGCCGTCGTCGAGCAAGGTACACCGCTTCCGCGGATCGTGGGCCAACAGCGCAAGTAGGGCGACGAGGATGTTTCGCTGCAGCAAGGCATTGGTTGTGACAACGAGGGTCTTGATCAAGTGCGACACCACAGCGTCGCTGATAGTAGGAAGGAGCGTTCGCGCGAACTGCGGATGATGCGTGAAAAGAATGGTCACGCACCCTTGCTCGATTGCATCGACGACAAAGCCTTCGTCGGATACCTGCCGCATGGCCGTCCAGAGCTGCACGGCAGCCGTGGCGACAGCAGCGTTCGTATGACACACGGCTAGCCACGCGATGTCGATGAGTGTGCCAGAGGACCGCAACGCTGTCTGTGTCGCCCCAGCAACCGAGAGGTGCGGTGGAGGCACTGCATGGCAAAGGCACGCGCGCAAGAGCCGGAGAGCTGCGAGTTGATGCCGCTTCTTTTGGAGCTGCGTCATGGCCCATGGAAGTAGCTCGTGCAAGTCGCACAGCACCAATGGCTGTGGTGTGATGACGACGAGAAACAAGTCGACCGTCGCGGTGACGTACGTGGAAGCGTCGTTCAAGCGCACGAGCTGTCGGCAAAGATGTGGAAAGAGCCGCGCCGTCTCCAAGTCTTCAAACGCTGGCGGATAGGCGGCGACGAGAGAGGAGAGAGTGCGCAGGGCGATTGCTTGGGCTGGTAGAAAGTCGAGCGCAGTGTACGCTGGGTGCAGCAGCACAAAGGAGGAAGCGTCCATCGCGCCGTAGCTGCAAAGCATCGACGCATCGAGCTTGGTCAGGGCCAGGAGCGCTTGGGCAACGAGTGTCAGTTCCGCTGCCGTGGTTCCTGGCAGCGTTGATACCAGGTGAAGGCAGATTTGTGGCACAATGTCCGTATCATGCACTAGTTGACGAGCTATGCGCGGTGCGCATGTGCACACGCTTTGTAAAACAGCTGCACTGGCGCTTCGGATCTGTGGGTTCATGTGGAGGAGCACAGAGCCGACGGAGCTCCAAACACCAATCGGGATCGTATCAAGAGTGCTGCTCTCGTCTTCAGAGTGATTTGGATTGGATGCGACCTTCCATAATGTGAGGAGCGAGTGCTCGACAACGGCGTCGTTGGTCGAGTGGAGAGGGTACATGGCCTTTCTGCGCAGCTATCTTTAGCAAGCGATGGATAGGGCAGAATCGCAAAAGTTCACCTCCAACACAATACTCTGAGACCAAGGCAATTCCTAATACCAAGGTCTTACTAATACTCAACACAATTGTCGTCTAGATTGATCGCAAGGAACGAACCGAATAGGTTTGAGAGATCTCGACACAGCGAAAAGGACAGAGTGTCTTTGTTTAGTGACGTGTTCGGACTGCTTACTCTACACCTGTCCAACAGTTGTGAGTTCGGACAGCTTACTCTACGGCTGTACGTAAGCTGTTGGTTGACGTTGCTCTGTGGCCTAGCCACCTGAATTTGTCTTTGTCGAGCAGCAAACTGAAGCGTGGAGAGCGCAACGGTGCAAGATCGCATCAAAGGCATGTGATTGGTTGTATTTTAAATGCTTTTATGCCAATAGCAATGAGGTATTGTGTAACTGCCTCGCATTTTCAAATCGGCGCCGGGAGACAGAGGCAAGCGCAGGAGGATGCGTCGGCGGGGTCGCGTGACCCAGGAAGAGATCGCGATGGACAACATCCGCCAGCTCCAGGGGCAGATCCATGACATGCAGCGCGACAAGGCAAACCTCCTCAGCGAGAACCAAGACCTCGCTTCGGCGCTGGTACGTCCTCTCCTCGAGGTCTCCATCTCATGGACCATCCTTCGCAGAACCTGACGCGCTCCGACTTGGCCTCGGGTAGACGAAGACCTACATATGCATATGCGGTCGTGCTTGCAAGCTCATTGACGTTCCATGGCAGCGAGGAAGAAGACGATCGAGCTCCAGATGGCCATTGGTACGACTCGGCCTGTCCTTCTCGACAATGATCTCTCCTCCTCCAGTGCGTCGCAACGTAAGCGACGCCAAGGCGAAGCCTACCATTGCCATGCGAGACGCCAGCGTGCAGTGCTCCTTGAAGGTTCGATGATCATTAATTGTGGGCAAATTTTAAACGAGCTCTAGCTTGGGGCCAGTGTTGCCGACACGAAGAGACCAGCTAAGAAGAGCAAGGTCGGCCCAGAGGCACCAGCAGACCAAAGAGGGAGATCAAACCAGTGTGAGGCCCAGGTGTGATATCACACTTCCATGGTCTGGACATTTCACGCTATCCGCAGCCTACTCGACGCACACTACCCCATCGAGCCAAGGTGGCAAAGACTCCCGTACGAGACCCATGGAAGGCAAGCGCGCGCGTGGCCACGTCCGATGTAAATCACATCCCCATGTCACCGCGCGTGCGTCTGGGTGCCAATGCACCTTCTCCGCGAGCGAACAACCAAGCGCCGGTAAGTCATGTCCATCCTTCTCTCCAGCATCCTACACCGCGAAAGCATTCTCCAATGGAGGAGGAGCCGACTACCGAGCGCCGTGCCATGCGCAACCGAACGTCGCAGCCAATTTACACCGTCAACTTGCTCAAGAAGATGCGCAAGGTTGACGATGCAATGTGCAGAATGTATCATGCATGACGACGAATCTATCGTAGGGCGACCCCTGTTCGTTCCAAATCTACTCTCCATGAGCACTTATCTTCCAACACTACACACGCCATGTTCAAAAGTAACTTGATGTGCATTGAAGCAGGCACGGATTGTCATGGCTTCGTCTTCATGCGATGGTTCCGCGGCAAGTACGAAGGGCTCGTGGCCTCCGTGAACGCATCAATGTACTTGTCTTGGAGCATTTGCTTGGCCTTGCGCGCGTATTCCTTTTGCTCGCGCCGGATGATGCGCCCGTCCGGCAAACGAACGAGCACCGAGCTGTCGGGAATGACCGTGTGTGGTGGCACGACGACGCCGGCGCCGATGACGCAGTCGTTACCGATGACGACGCCCTCGCCCACGGAGCACTTGGGCTCAAACCAGTTGTTGCTGCCAATCGTCTTGGCCTTGATCGTGCATCCGCTCTCAAAGAGGTTGTTGTCTCCGACCGTGATCGTCGACTGCGTGTCCGAGATAGTCAGCGAGATGCAGGCCATGTCATCGACAATGTTGCGCTCACCGAAGATGACATATGGCGGGGACGACGAAGGAGCGTCTGGATGGACCTCGACCGCAGCCTTGGGGTGGAAGACGCTCTTGTACCCGACGGTCACGACCGCGAGGTCGACCTGGGCTTCGTCGCAGACGTACATGCAACCGGAATCGATCCCTTGATTGGCCAAATTGGTTTGTATTTCTAGAGCGTTCATTGGTCAAAATGAGAAATTGCCATGTAGCTTTGTTGTCATTGGTGGATGAGAAATGCATACATCGGATTGGCTGAAATCCGGGCATTCGAAAATCCGGCGATGAAAGCAGCGGATTGGCTGAAACGCACACAAGCCATGAGCAACAAGCGCAAGGAGCTGCCCGTCGGGTTCTTTGACGATCCGCTCGCGGACGCCAAGGCGCGGAAGCTCAACATCAAGGAAGAAGTCGCCAAGGCGCAGGAGAAGGAGTGGGAAGACTTTCAGTCCTTCGTCGCCACCGTCGAGACCCAGGACCGCGACGAAGAGACCACCAAGGCCGACGAGGCGGCCGAGGAAGATGGTCTCGAGAAGCTCGAGCAGATGGAGTACATGGAGCGGCTGCGCAAAACGCTTCTGCGTGTGAGTAAGAAAGAGGCTGGCGCCGAGGATGACGAGGGCGGTAACGACGACAAGGACGAGGACGAGGCGGGTCTCACCACGGACACGACCGACCCGCCCGTCGATATCATGTCCGAGGTCCTCAAAGCCCGCTCCAAGGCTAAGGCCAAGGCCGTTCCTGTCGACGACGAAGACGACGAATTGGATCTCTTGGACTGGCGGGCGAAGCGACATTAAATAGTAGGCGAACGTGAAGAATGGAAAGGTTCAAACATCATATTCGAGTGTTTTCATGCGCTTACGCGATGAGATGCGTGATCGCATACAAGATAGCGCCGCAGCCGATCATGAGGACGGGCGTGTCCATCGTGTGCGGCGCAATCGCTTCGGCGTAGGCCATCGTCGGCGGCAGGATGAGCATCGCCGTAAGCACCTGCGTGAAGCTTTGAAAGTTGGCGTATTGAAGCGCGGGAAAGATCATGCCCGAGAGGAAGACGCACGCCGAGCCTTCCCACGACCGCGTGTACTTGCGCGAGGAAAAGCAGCTCCGCGTCTTGTACTTGTGCTTGCCCCAGGCAATGCCAACAGGCTCGGCGAGGCCGTCGCCGATGCCCGTGATGAAGACAATGATGAACGTTAACGCGCCTTGCTCGCCATAGAGCCACTTGAAGAACATGAGGATGAAGAGACCCGGCGCAATGTTGCCTGCAATGATCCAGTTGAGCGTATGCGGGCGGTCCTCGGGACGGTCGAGCGAGTTGAACTGGAGCATAAAGAACGTCGCCGACTCGCGAATCGGCTTGATCAAGACGAGGAAGCCGAGCATCGTAAAGAAGTCACCCCATCCAAGGGCAAGCGGACCGTGGTAGCTGCTGTGGATCACGAGGGGCACCATGTACGCGGCAAAGTGCTGGAGCTTCCGCGTGTAGTTGACCTTGAACACCGACGACTTGTTGGTCATGATGTAGCCCTTGCTGTCGACTTCGCAGAAGCAACGGCACACAAGGCCGCCGAGTAGCGACACGGCCATCATGCAGCCCAGCTTTGGCAGCTGAAAGAGCCAAAAGTCGATGGACGAAAAGTACTCGGGCGCGTACAAATACGTCAAGACGAGCAGGACGACAAGGTACAAGATCATGCCGAGCAAGAAGATCAGGTCGAATGTCTGCGTCCACGGCGCATCGTAGTCGCCGGCAGCCTCGCCTTCTTCGCAGAGCGACGATTTCTCCTTCTTGATCTTGTTGAGCGCGTCCTTGTCGTCGGTCGAGCCGTACTTGGGCCCTGCAAACTTGGGCAGGCTGTTGCCCTCAGGCACCTTCCAGATGCAGCGGAGGAAGACGTAGATCAAGATAAGCGCGACGATCGGAAGCCCGATGATCGTGACCTGCTGCGTCAGCGTGATGTGGTCTGCCCAGCTCGAGGTCAATGGCGCCGAGGTCAAGGCCGCGATCGCCGGCGCATGCGTGGCCGGCGTGAGCGTCGTCGCCAGTCCGGGCGTGGGCTTGGGTGTTGCACTCATCGTCGTCGCCAGCGGAGCTCGCTGGTTTTTCGAAAATGACGCGGATCCAAGCTTGGACAAGCATCAAAAGATAGAGGTGGCTTTGCACCTCAGACTTCAACTTCATACAAACGTCAAGTGTCTTCTGAAAACCTCTCACAATGGATGCAGAAGCGAAACCGTTGGCAGAGCTTCCATGCTTTGGTCGTTTTTTAACTTGACGTTTGTATAGAACGCACCCACATTCGACGAAACGAAATCCAAAATCCGCAGCAAGATCGCTCGCGACAGACGTCGCTGGAGAGAAGGTATGTCCCGCTCGTCCTAGTGCACTTGCCTGCTCAAGTGCGTTGGATTCTGCTATGAAAAAGGTCCTGTGGGGATGGGTCTTGTTCACAGTGGCAACTTCAACGCTGGACCCGAACCTCTATAAAGCAATAAAGAGCAACACTATTTCGAAACGAGCATTTTGGCTGTAGTTAGTGTCATTCGAACACTATTACCGTGCTTTACGATTGCAGCCCGGTAATTTATCCGTAAAGACGGACCAATAGCATCACGCTGGTGCGATCCAGCAGAATGGACAAGCTAGATCAAGCGGTATCAGAGCATTTTTTATATATCCCTTAGGCTACATTGAAGCAAGGAGCACGTTATGGCAGCAGCAGCCAATGACACCGCGACGCACTGTAGAGCCGTTGCGATTTTGTCTTGAACAATGGACTTGTTCGTCTGCGAGTTGTCCTATGAGCTAGACGTCAAGTATTGATATACCGGTACTACTACCGGGTAGTATTGCGAAAGAGTGAGTCCATGTCTTTATGCTTCTGAAAGCGTATTCGTGTCACCGCAAGAGCACAACCCTGTCAGTGCTATATGCAGCTCTATAAAAGCGTCATGGCTTCATCTTTCCTTGCCGCGATGATGAGTTCTGTCGTCACGATGAGGGTGCCACGGCTACGATGCACACACCGCATGTCTGTACGCCATCAAGCAGGTACATTCAAAGTCGCGTCGTGGTTTACTTATTCTGTTCGTGTCCCTACCATCACGAAGTCGTTGGCTTCCTCCTCCAACGTCGATAACGACAGTACGGATTGCATACCAGATTTATCGCGCAGACACCCACTTCGTTCGTACCGCGCACAAGAATCGGCGCACGAGGCGCCGCCAGCTCATGGCTCCCCCTGGCTTCTTGACATACCGCCGCCTTTACCTGCTTCAGAGCCGTGCACGTTGCCAGCACTGGCACCATTGGCTGCCACAACGGAAATAAGCCACTCGCCGCTCTCGTAGGCACGTGCTCTTGAAGCTTTGGCTTTGTCACACTTGCTTCAAGAATCGCCCGCCAGCTGGCGCTGCACTGTGGACACGGGCGTCGTCGGCAGTACGAGGTCTGCACTCGCACCCGCCGCTCCTATGGCTTGCAGCTGCGCTACGATTATCCACTACGTCCTGTGGCGTATTCTTGCTTCAACTGCAGTCGCCGGGCATCCGTCCGCACCACCTCACTTCGTTTCGACTGGCGGCAGCCGGCCTGGCATATGCTATGCCCAATCACACGAGGGGTAGCAATCCGACCAATGAGACACGAGAGCACTTTCAACAAGATATCTCGTCAACGTCTCAATTCCAAGGGAAACGGCAATCTCGGGCGATGGCCGGCGAAAGCGTCAGTAAGAAGCAAGATACGCGCCTACTTTACCTGCGATTGAGCGAGATACTACTTGACGCAGTCAAGAGCTTTGGCACACTGGGTCGGCGCTGCGTCGTATCTGACGTGATGCAAGAAGATGTTGATGCAATACATTTCGGTGAGGTGTGTGTGTCTTTACAACATTACAAGGTATAGGAGGAGCTTGGCCAGGTGCGGAGATGCATCTTGTACCGTGCGCCGCCCCGGACAGGGCTAGCTAAGTGCGGGTGCCGGCACGGCACGGCGGTAATTGCTGGCGGTGGTTGGTCCTGCTCTGTCAGGGACCGCCGCGACGTTGATCGCGAGCGTATGCATCACGTCGTGGCAGCACATCATTGGTCGTGTCCCGCCGCATCCAACCACTGAACGGCAGCGAACGCACTGGAAGCAAGCCGTGTGGTCGTTTGGGAGACGTTTCCGACTTGCCTATCCTATATTGAGACGGTATTGGTACGTTCGGCAGGAAAGGACATTGCACTTGCGGTCATTGGCGCGGAGATGGCGCGCCTGGACTTCCGTGGCTATGCCCGCTCTGATCTCACGCAGGTGTACGGTACGTCCAGTGCCAGCTGGCGATTAGCTGGCGACGACCAGCGCTGCCTCAACAAACGCTAAGAGCTGCTTTTCCTCCGCTTCATTCTTGGATTCGCTCACTACTCCACAGTTGTCATGGCGCACCCCTCTGAGACGCCGTACGTGCAGCCGTCGTCGGGCATCGCCGATGGCATTGCGCGCAAGGTCATGCTCTTCGGCATCCTCGCCATCTTCCTCCTCATCAACGTCATCGTCTTGTACGCGCTGCACTTTACGTCGGCCGGCGTCCCCGCCTCGGCGTCCAACGTCAAGGTCTCGAGCGACGCGTTCAAGGTCGGCGCCATTGACAAGAAGGTCGTGAGCTTTGGCGACGACGGCTCGATCGTCGTGGGCGCTGGCACCACGGGGTACCTCGACGCCGTCGCCATGCCCAACGACGCGATCAACTACATTACACTCGCGCCGATCGGTGCCAACGCGTCGTCGACGGCGATCCTCGCCTACTACCTCAAGAACAAGACGACGACCGTCATCACGACGCTCACGATCAACGACGACAAGACGACGACGGTCAGCACGAAGCAATCGACGGCCGCCAACGTCCAAGTGCGTGGCATCGCGACGCTCTCCAACTCGCAGGCCGTCTTCCTCCAGTCGACGGCCATGGGCAAGACGTCGCTCGTGCCCGGCTCCGATTGCGTCGGG